AGAAGCACTGTCTAAATCTAATGTGTTATATTGTTTAGAAGCAGTCTTAATCCAATGTGTGTTACATTGTTTAGAAGCACTGTCTAAATCTAATGTGTGTTATATTGTTTAGAAGCACTGTCTAAATCTAATGTGTGTTACATTGTTTAGAAGCACTGTCTAAATCTAATGTGTGTTACATTGTTTAGAAGCACTGTCTAAATCTAATGTGTGTTACATTGTTTAGAAGCACTATCTAAATCTAATGTGTGTTATATTGTTTACAATCAAATGCTGAGATGTGTTTGTGTGCACTGTTTTCAATGTGTATTTGGGACACAAGGCTGAGATACCATGACGTCTTATCATTTTACTGAGTCCAAAACAAGGTGTTACATTATTCATTTCCATCAGGGGCGGTCGGGTAGCCCAGTGGTTAAAGCGTTCGCCTGTCACGCAGAAGACCCGGTTTGAATACTGACATGGGTACAATGTGTGAAGCCCATTTCTGGTGTCCCCTGCCGTAATATTGCTTGAATGTTGCTAAAAGCAGCGTAAAACCATACTCACTCACTCACTCACTCACTCACTCACTCACTCACTCACTCACTCACTCACTCACTCTCACTCATTTCCATCAATATATTACAGCTGAAATGATTTCATCACTGATGTGACATATTATTATAGGAAACAAAATATTTTAATCAATAGACAAGCATGTCGCCATTTGTTTTATTTATGGAATGGGCTGAATACGAGTACTGATCAACACATGATTGTGTCTTTGTCCTGAGCGTAAAGGTAAAATCAGGAGTTAGAGGGTCCCGAGAATCAAGTACTACAGCAGCACCAGTGAATGAGCACAGGATGACCCTCATTTTGAAACACTGAATATTCCAATATAATTTGAAGTCAGATACAGTATTCTATTCAGTCTAACTCCGAACAGACATCTTATTTAAAAGATATTTTGTGAGAATATAAAGTCAATTATTATTTTCTTAAATGATATCAAAATTAAATTATATTCATGCTTTGACGGGGGGATATACATGTAGTCATCAGTATGTCCGTCTGTCCGTCCGTCTGTCCGTCCGTCCATCTGTAATCATTGTTTGTCCGGGGCATATTTCCTAAACCGTACAACCTAGCTTCACAAAACTTGGTACACTTATCAATCAGGCTCAGTAGAAGTGCCTTTTGCTATTTAGAGTTTTTTAGAATTTTATATTTTTGTCGTTTCCTTGGAAATATGATGAACTTAGGAAATTTGAGGGTAGTGCTCTTGTCCGGACCATATCTCCCAGTCCATACAACTTAGCTTCTCAAAAGTTTTTACACCTATCAAGCAGGTTATGTAGTGCCTTTGCTATTAACAGATTTTTTTATTATTATTTTTTTTTCAATTTAAATTCAAAATTGATGAACTTAGGGTAATGTCCTCGTCTGGAGCATATCTTCTAAACCATGCGACAGAGATTCACCAAACTTTATGCACATATCAATCATGTTCACTAGTAGTGCAGTTTGTTATTTATAGATTTTTAGTCTTTTTAATTTGTAGCCCCTGACATATAATTCTAAGGTGTACTATTTACCAATATCATATACTACATATGATGTGAGCTACATAACCTAGTACATTCTCTTTATGCCTTTGTGTCATGAGGCTACTACAGAGCTATTCATATGCGAATCTGCGAAGTTATTGTTATTACAATTTCATGAGATCATCAGAAAGTGAGCTACATGAACCAATTTTTAATAACCTTCATTATATTTCTGGTTTTGGCATCAAGGAAAAAGATTTCCTTGCCAATCTAAATACATATGAAGGTACACACAGATTACCGACATGCCACGTCGGGGGGGGGGGGGGGATATGTCATCTTCAGATGACTCTTGTTTATGAACGTATTAAGTTTAATGCATTCTGTGAACAATTGGTGTCATGAGTCCGTTTAGTCACATATATGTCCTTTTTTCCCTAAGAATTGCGATTTTGGTGCCAATTTTCTTTTTCAAGTAGCCTTTTCATTACCAGGGAAACAATTCAAAACTGTTGATTCATTTACATTTTATTGGATATTAGTACAAGTTATGTCCCAAGTTGCTTATGTTATAATTAGACAATTAACCAACAAGCTACAAGAAATTAGTATTTTCTGTCTCATGTGAAATAATGTTCGCCAAGACTTTCATAACAATGTTTCGAGTAAATTTTTGACATCTAAATATCAGATAATCACTCAAAGAATATAAATCACAAATGATCATTCTGAAATGTCGCCATTAACCCTGGAATCGTTTTGCATGTTTTAGAAAAGAAGCAAACACAAATGCAGAACTTTCCACCATATTGGATTCACATAATAAAGCTTTTTTCTCACCTCATTCATTAAAGCAACCATATGATAATGAACAAATAAGTGCATCGTTGCATCATGATTTTTCATGCAACAATACGATACACGATAAAAGAAATTCTGTATCACTTCAAGACGATACACTTGCTGAAGTATATTACTACTAATTGTATGAGTGAGTGAGTGAGTTGTGTTTAACACCGCTTTTAACAGTATTCCAGTTATATCACGGCGTGTCAGCTTAATGTGGGAGGAAAGCCCGAAGTGATGCAGGTCTCAGACGTTTATCACTTCAGTGAAACCCACAAGCACGGGTATGGTGCTGACAAACCTAGAAACATAATCGGGGCGAACCGGGATTCAAACCCACAATCATAGGTTTCTGGCGTGTCCACGGGACGCAACTCTGCACAGCGAATCGCGGCGCCTTATACGACTGGGCCACCCATGCCCCCACTAATTTAATGACTCCAAGCATTTTTGTTTGTCAAATATCACAAAATGTGTTGTAATTAGGGTTTCTAGTTCACTACTAAAAAAGCAGCTGAGAACATGTGTCTACAGCTAGCTTTACCTTTTGAACCTGCTCTGAAATATTTTATAGTCAAGATGTTTCCTTGCGATTTGATGAAAATATGAGTATCGCGATACGTTTCGTATCGTGACCTTGCTGTATTGTTTCACTTCTATTAATCATCACATGATTGTTTCAACCAACATTGACACCCAAATTTGTTCATGAGGTCTATATCCAATTTTTCGTACGGCGGCTTTTCAAGTGAAATTTGGTGCATGTGTATTTAATAGTGGGGCTCAACATATGCTGTATTTGACGTAATAAGCGCCCACGTCGATATTTGCTAATATATTGGCTAGTGAACAATCCCAATTAGCACCTCTTTCCGATTGATCAATGTACACTTATTTATTCGTGTCTAATACGCACTTGTGTGTTATATGCACCCTTGATTATGGGCAATTAAATACTGGAAAATGTATGTATAATATGCACAGACTTTTCTTTTGTATCATTTCAGGCTGTCAGCATAAACCACGGAATTTACGATCTTTCAACTCTTTTTTTTTTTTCTCAGCAAAATTATATTCCAATGAGAGACCCCTATCTCTAATTTTGAGAACACCCCGGGCGCTTGTTATGGTGAATACAGTATGTTCGGGTTTTCTATTTTGGGGTTTGATGATAATTTAGATTTTGATAATATTTTGAGCTTTGCACTTCGACCACACTGAAAACTGAATTTAGTACTCAGCCATTTTTGCTGAAAATGTAATGAGCCCACCTCCGTGGTCTAGTGGATAGAGCATCTTCCTACAGAGCAGAAGGCAGGTGGTTGATCCCCTGGCCAAAAGGCGTTAATATATGATACTTGTTGTTACCATGCCTGGCACTTGTCTTTAACGGAATAGAACAAGGACTGGTCAGCTCAAGGGTCAGTATACTGCGTCTGAGTGGGGTATCCTTGTGAGCCAGCACTTTAAAAACAGCATTAGTCCGGACTAGTGCAAGTAACCGCACACACGTAACCACATGCACGTAGGTATAAGTGCAATAATCTTTAACAGGATGAAATTTGGTACAAGTTTTGTAAGTTTTGGGCTCAACATTTATGTTCTGTTTTTCACAATATTTTAAAATTGTGTCTGTCTTTGTTGACCTTCATATCCAGATAATCTACAGTGCTTGTGGCACTACTTTGAATCTATTCTAGACATTATTTACATGGATAAAGATGGTCATTTTATGTTATGTCTTCAAGGCATCAAATTCTATTTCACAAATCGAGATTTTTCTTACTGAGAACAAAAAATAGGTGAGATGTATGTATAAATCAATACTTGAATGGCTTTCTCAAAGTCCAAACAGTCCATTGACGTCACACAAAAAGGAATTATATGTTCTGTAATTCATTACATTTGGTGCCAAGACTAGCACTCCATTAAAAACAGACAGCATTAGTCAAGTTACACTTACACAATCAGGTGAATGATCTAGGACCTAATTTAGTCTGAGGAAAGGTTCATGGAGTAGTTTCATCACATCTTATGATTTGTCGGGATAATATAAAGTTTACAGATTCAGTGTCAGTTCAGTATGTATTGCAACAGCTTGGTTACTCGTGAAAAACACAATACAATAAAGATATTTTCGTGATCAACAGCAAATTCTCACCATGACAGCCGAGTTACATTGACCTAGTTTGAAGCATGACAGTTATGTACCCTTTTCTCATTTATAAGATGCTATTTTTCCTATAGAATATGTAATGTCATACATAAGGTTACAAATCCATTTGATATATCAATGTCTTTCACATATTAGACAGTATTTTGTTACAGTGTGAATGATGATGTCAAATATGTATAATAAACTCCCAGTACTTATATTGTGTATGATTTAAATGAGAGAAATTGTCCGGGTTTTGTGCACAGAATAAACTTGTAAACGACACTTTGCAGTTTGTTTTTCCAATCAATCTTATATTTACAATTAATTTTACACCTCAGACAGGAAATTCAATATTATACATTTTATGGTGAGAGCTTGACCAGTGCAACGAGTCCACAATTCTCACTTTTCAGAAGCTAAAAAAAGGTTCATCAGAAAAAATACTCTTTCTCTTTATGTTCCAGGAAGCCCTCATCAAGAATATTCTTTCCAAACCTTTCAAAATCCCCATCCCTAATTATCAAGGTAAGTCATGACACTTTGAAAACCGACCCATGAAGATCTGACCCATGCTTGCCATAAAAGGTGACTATGCTTGTTGCAAGAGGTGATTAAAGGGATCAGGTGGTCAGGCTCGCTGACTTGGTTGAAGCATGTCAATTGCGTGGATCGATGTTCATGATATCAATCACTGGATTGTGTGGTCCAGACTTGATTATTTACAGACCGCCGACATGTAGCTGGAATATTGCTGAGTTTGGCGTAAAACAACAAACAAACCAACTAACTAACTTTGAAAACCATACAAACTGGGTACCCGGTAGGATGAGATAGTTACTAAATAGAACCGTTGACCATGCAACTCGCAAGTAGTTGGTTTGTTTGTTGTTTAACTCCGCACTCAGCAATATTCCAGCTATATGGCGGCGGTCTGTAAATAATAAAGTCTCGACCAGACAATCCAGTGATTGATATCATGAGCATCGATCCATGCAATTGGGAACGATGACATGTATCAACCAAGTCAGCGAGCCTGACCACCTGATCCTGTTAGTCGCCTTTTACAACAAGCATAGTCGCCTTTTACGGCAAGCATGGGTTGCTGAAGACCTATTCTACACCGAAATCTTCACAGGTCTAAAAGTAGCTTGGGTTGTGTACCCTGCTAGGCAGCAATGAACATGTCTTATTTAATCACTTATTAATCTTGGCAAAAGATACATTTTCATAGCAAATATTAAAGGAATAAAAACTTGTTTTAAATTATACAGAAATATACTAAAAGTCCTTTATAATAAGGAAGAGAATTTATTTGTGTTTCTCATAATAAAGAAGCTGACATCCATAAATTCTCTTCCTTATGGGTATCACTTCTAAATGCCAATAAAAGACGTCATTTATGATGTTGAGTTATTCATGGCAAGAACAGGATTACTGATTTAATGTTATTGTTATCTCATATAGTTATTACAGCGTACATCCCTGTATAAACTTATTGTCATGTTTCATGTTGTACAGTGTTGTCATTTTATTCACCATGTACTTCCATGACCAATATTTTATGATGACTGTGTACACAATGAACTGAATTTTAAAAAATAGAAAAAAAAGATATGACACCACTGTTGTCAAGTGTGCCTTCTCCTAAAACAAAGACACTTAGTTCTCCAAACTCCTCGAAACCATGGTGATCTTTCCAACAATTTTGTTGTCGGAACAAGCTTATTTATGTTGTCAAGTGCGTCATGATGAAAGTGAAACTGATCTTCTTATCATGCCACTGAAAAAGGTTATATATTTTTTAACTCTTCCTGTCATGGAAATATACACTCCAAATAAATACAGTATTTGTTCAAGAAGTATGAATACCTTCTAATGATTTATGAAAACTATTGTCAGATTAACAGGATACACTGTCATAAATTCAGGGGTAGAATAGGTCTTCAACAACCCATGCTTGCCGTAAAAAGCAACTATGCTTGTTGTAAGAGGGAACAAACAGGATTCAGTTGTCAGGCTTGCTGACTTGGTTGATGCATGTCATTATATCCCAATTGCGTGGATCGATGCTTATGATGTCAGTCACTGGATTGTCTGGTCCAGACTCGATTATTTACAGACCGTCATGTAGCTAGAATATTGCTGAGTGTGACGTTAAACAACAAACAAATACTGTCATAAACAATTTGGTCGGGCACAATTGCATCAATTACACTTGCACTGGCATCGATCAAAATATGTTTTGTTTCCTCTATATCCACTCCCAGGCGCTTCATCATCCCGAGCCCTCGGTGTGCGGAGACAGGGAGCCAGGCAACCTCTACACGACCCTTATGAGGAGGGTTCCCTCATCCTCTATACACCACCAGAGTTGTCTGCCCATGACCAGCTCAAGGCTGACGTGTTAGTACACTGAATGGGTTCGGTTTTTCCATAATGGTCGTTCATGAACGTCTGATGATCCATCATCAGATTATTGTGAGGTTGCGAATTGTTGTTTTAACTGTCATGCTTTTTGGGGTAAAATTCTGTTGAAGGATCCTCTGTCATCAACAGTCAATATATGGTTTGTTGTGGTCCACCCAAGTCTCTCACTAATGGGATCGGTGGTCTGGCTTGCTGACTTGGTTGATAAATGTCATCGTATCTCCATTGTGTGGATCAATGCTCATGATGTCAATCACTGGATTGTCTGGTCCAGACTCGATTATATACAGACCGCCGTCACATTACTGGAATATTGCTGAGTGTGGCGTTCAAGTAACATGAATTATTATAATTATATGTATGCTAAGTATTGGTTTGATTTAACATACAAGAACACATGGCATAGTCATGTCATAATACTCATATATATTATGTATTATCATCATGATATAATTATTATCATAATACTCTTAACCACATAACATGGCAGATGCTATTCTCATGAAGGCTATGAATGTTTGGCGGTAGTGTGCCTAGCTTATTACCCAGAATTCTGTGTGACTGTTCTGAGCATAAGATTACAATGGTATTTTTTTTTTTTTATGTATTAATAGTTATTAAAAAAGGAAACCTTTTTTATAAAATCATAATCAGCTATTAAAGACCAGGAATATATTTTAGTTTCTTACATGTAATTTATACCTTGGAGAATCAGTTATTTATTACTGGATTAAATTTTCAAATTGAGGTATTTTTTTTGCAATGTTTGCTGTTAACATTTATGAGTGAGTTTGGGGCCCCAGGGAGTTAATACACTGTTTGTGTTCCCCCAGAGAGAAACAGCCCGTCCATGTGGTGGTGGATCCTCTGCTGTCCAAGGTGCTGAGGCCTCATCAAAGGGAGGTAATAACATACATCCACATTGCACACTCTCACCAAAATGTCCTCAATGGTCAAAGTTCAAAGATATAAATTTGGTCATAGTTTTTTTCAAAATTCTAAACATGAAGAAATTTCACTGACAAAATTGTTAAAAGCATCAAGTTGAATATTTCAATCTCATGTTTCCTTTTTAAAGCAGGCGGTTGAGTAACTGAGTGGTTAAAGCATTCGCTTGTCACGCCGAAGACCTGGGTTCGATTCCTGACATGGTACAATGTGTGAAGCCCATTTCTGGTGTCCCCCGCCGTGATATTGCAATATTGCTAAAAGCGGCGTTAAACCATACTCACTTACTTTTTAAAGCAGGAAAGTGAAGTGGGTGAATGTTTGGGGCAAAATATGGGAGAGATTCCAGAGAAAGAATAATTGAATTTATTGTGGTTTTACCTGATTCTGTTTTCTTCCCAGGGAGTGAAGTTCATGTATGACTGCATCACAGGCTGTCAAATAGAAGGGAGTCATGGCTGCATCATGGCAGATGAAATGGTAAATTCACCATTCTTGAACATTTCTATATTTTGTCGTGCACAGGGAATTATAGTGCAACATTAGTGTTATCTTGAAACTGAGCCCAGGTGCCACCTGGGACAACCTACTTCCTTATGCATCAGGTTTGTCATAATGGGGAATAGTGGTCAAATACTCCCTGGTGCACCATGCTTGTCACAATGGGGAATAGTGGTCAAATACTCCCTGGTGCACCATGCTTGTCACAATGGGGAATAGTGGTCAAATACTCCCTTGTGCACCATGCTTGTCATAATGGGGAATAGTGGTCAAATACTCCCTTGTGCACCATGCTTGTCATAATGGGGAATAGTGGTCAAATACTCCCTGGTGCACCATGCTTGTCATAATGGGGAATAGTGGTCAAATACTCCCTGGTGCACCATGCTTGTCACAATGGGGAATTGTGGTCAAATATTCCCTGGTGCACCATGCTTGTCATAAAGGGGAATTGTGGTCAAATACTCCCTGGTGCACCATGCTTGTCATAATGGGGGATAGTGGTCAAATACTCCCTGGTGCACCATGCTTGTCACAATGGGGAATAGTGGTCAAATACTCCCTTGTGCACCATGCTTGTCATAAAGGGGGATAGTGGTCAAATACTCCCTTGTGCACCATGCTTGTCACAATGGGGAATAGTGGTCAAATACTCCCTTGTGCACCATGCTTGTCACAATGGGGAATTGTGGTCAAATACTCCCTGGTGCACCATGCTTGTCATAATGGGGGATAGTGGTCAAATACTCCCTGGTGCACCATGCTTGTCATAATGGGGAATTGTGGTCAAATATTCCCTGGTGCACCATGCTTGTCATAAAGGGGAATAGTGGTCAATAAGCAGGAGGCAACATATAGAAGACTATAATATCATCAAGGTTATTTTGAGGTCATTTTCATAAAATAAGAGAAATGTTTCATATTTGAAGGCTGTTTGTTTCAATACCCACCAGCCATGACAGATTAACTATAGTCATTTGGAGAAATCATGTGTTCTTTTAACTTCTTTTGAGTATAATTATTTATTTATTTTACCTTTGTAGGCTGATTTGTAAAACAAAAGCTGTAATTGGTGTGACCTGTTTTCCCCATAGTGATGTGGTGGTTGTTGACATGTACATTGTTTTCTTCTCCTCCAGGGCCTGGGGAAGACGCTGCAGTGTATCACGCTCATGTGGACAGCACTGGTAGGTGCTATAGCGTGGAACAGTCCCAGACTGGGAAAGTTGAGATTATCAATCAGGGATTATACAATTAAACTGTGTCTTGTTCAGGATGAGATGATAGTCCTATTTTTTAGACTTGCTTGATGAAAATTGTCAGTTGTTTTAACGGTAGAATAAAATGATTTGTTTGAAAATTACCACCATATGACTTGATTGAAGTGTTAGTATATATTTTCCTAGTCATCACATGTTTTTATTATTCTTCAGGATATAACTTAAATATTGCTGACTGCATGTTAAACAACATTTATTCACTCTTAAATGTCACGGCCGGGATATAACTTGAATATTATGGACTGCATGTTAAACACCACTTCAGATTAAATGCTTTCATGGGTGGTGTTTATTGCTGAGGCATGTGTGTCCAATCATAAATATTTAATATCTGCTTCACTGTATGTTAACAGAAACAAAGTCCGGACTGCTGCCCTCTGATTGACAAGGCCATGGTTGTGTGTCCCAGTAGTTTAGTGAAGGTAGGACTTCTGGCCTCTGATTGACAAGGCCATGGTTGTGTGTCCCAGCAGTTTATTGAACGTACAAGCCGTCTGTTGATACTACCTACCTAAAAATGATTTTTAAAGATATTTATTGTGACTTGCACAGAATCGTTTAAAGTCAATGACTTACGGAGCATAAAAGGATTTGGTATCCCCTGTACTGTGTGTGTCATGTTTCAGAACTGGCACAATGAAATCAGCAAATGGCTTGGAGGACGTGTGAAAGCTCTAGCAATCGACAGTGGCACGAAAAGCGAAATAGACAAAAATCTAAGTAAGAACTATAGAAATGTTACCTTGCACAGGCAATCACTTATAACCTCTCTCTCCAGTCTTTGATTTAGATATAACTCTGTCTCGTTTCATCTCTATGGGTAATCTGGAACATCGTAGGGTCCATGTTCTCTATATGTTCTCGCAGGATGTCTGAACAAATGGTTCCATCAGTTTTTAAGACATGTAAGCCACTGAAATGGAAAACCGCTTCAGGACTGATCTTGCAGATTATTTACCAGTTTTATTTCTCACCAGTGAATGTTACTATTAATGTGTGAATGTTTTTGTGTGCACATTTAGAAACATACTTTTCAAAAAGTCGTTCAGACAAACTAAGAGAATTTTTACTGGTTAGCATTTGTTCAGACATCCTTCTTGAGCCTTTTCTTCACACTGTTGCAACAGTATGACATAGCTGAGTATGGTAAATATGTTACATCTCACTATGTTGTGTTGTTTCAGCTCACTATGGTGTGTTGTTACATCTCACTATGTTGTGTTGTTTCAGCTCACTATGTTGTGTTGTTACATCTCACTATGTTGTGTTGTTTCAGCTCACTATGTTGTGTTGTTACATCTCACTATGTTGTGTTGTTACATCTCACAACGTTGTGTTGTTTCAGCTCACTATGTTGTGTTGTTACATCTCACTATGTTGTGTTGTTACATCTCACTATGTTGTGTTGTTTCAGCTCACTATGTTGTGTTGTTACATCTCACTATGTTGTGTTGTTACATCTCACTATGTTGTGTTGTTTCAGCTCACTATGTTGTGTTGTTTCAGCTCACTATGTTGTGTTGTTACATCTCACTATGTTGTGTTGTTACATCTCACTATGTTGTGTTGTTTCAGCTCACTATGTTGTGTTGTTACATCTCACTATGTTGTGTTGTTACATCTCACTATGTTGTGTTGTTACATCTCACTATGTTGTGTTGTTTCAGCTCACTATGTTGTGTTGTTTCAGCTCACTATGTTGTGTTGTTACATCTCACTATGTTGTGTTGTTACATCTCACTATGTTGTGTTGTTTCAGCTCACTATGTTGTGTTGTTTCAGCTCACTATGTTGTGTTGTTTCAGCTCACTATGTTGTGTTGTTACATCTCACTATGTTGTGTTGTTACATCTCACTATGTTGTGTTGTTTCAGCTCACTATGTTGTGTTGTTTCAGCTCACTATGTTGTGTTGTTTCAGCTCACTATGTTGTGTTGTTTCAGCTCACTATGTTGTGTTGTTACATATCACTATGTTGTGTTGTTACATCTCACTATGTTGTGTTGTTACATCTCACTATGTTGTGTTGTTTCAGCTCACTATGTTGTGTTGTTACATCTCACAATGTTGTGTTGTTTCAGCTCACTATGTTGTGTTGTTTCAGCTCACTATGTTGTGTTGTTTCAGCTCACTATGTTGTGTTGTTTCAGCTCACTATGTTGTGTTGTTTCAGCTCACTACATTGTGTTGTTTCAGCTCACAACGTTGTGTTGTTTCAGCTCACTACATTGTGTTGTTTAAGCTCACTACATTGTGTTGTTTCAGCTCACAATGTTGTGTTGTTTCAGATCACTACATTGTGTTGTTTCAGATCACTACATTGTCTTGTTACAGCTCACTTCATTGTGTTCTTTCAGATCACTTCATTGTGTTCTTTCAGATCACAACTTTGTGTTGTTTTAGCTTGCTATATTGTGTTCTTTCAGATCACTACATTGTGTTGTTTCAGCTCACTACATGTCACAGGAGGGGCGCAGAGTGATGTTCCCCATCCTCATCATCTCCTATGAAACCTTCCGGCTACACGCCTATGTGCTGCACAAGCGATCGGTCGGGCTGGTGATATGTGATGAGGTGAGCCGACTTGGACAGATGACTTCACTACTTCTTCCGTCACATATATTCTCTCCATCAGGCTCTTACTCTAGAAGCAATCCTAAACCCACAAAATAAAATAGAAAAATTCAAAGCCTTAGGCTTATACTTAATCAAAACAGGACTAATAAATTGCATTTAAAACCCCAATAAACTACCAAAACCAGACCACATAATCAAACTAACAAACTTCCATACTCAGGTCCCTTAGTTCGTCCCCCAAACCCTCTTGGCATTTTTTCAAAATTTCAAAATTTCCAAAATTCTATATAAGCAACCACTAAAACACCCCTACTGGATTGCCAAACAACTTTTTCACCTTTTCGGAAACACATTAAATGGCTTGGCCGGGCCCGTGTGCGAAATACGCTGCAGTCGGAAAGCGCACGTAAAATCTCCAATGTAAGTAAGTAAGTAACTGTTTTGCGTGAATATAGAGGAGATTTATGAGAAGGATGAAGCAAGGAAGTGCATGATCCTAAATCTCATCTGGTTTCATGATTCTGGGCTACAATAGGCTCCCAGCTACCTATGCTTGTCGTAAAAGTAGACTAAATAGAATCGGGTGGTCAGACTCAGTGACTTGGTCGATTGCATATCATGGCACCCTGTCATTGTACATGATACCAGTCACTGGTTTGTCTGGCCCTGACTATGATTTTCTGGCAGCTGCAGTATGACTAAAGTGAAACAATTTCTACTGGTATTGACTCCATCTTCTTTCACATCATCATCATCATCATCATCATCATCATCTTCAAAATTCTGTTACATCAGCAACTGGCTTCCACTGGGTGGTCCAGATGTTTTAAGGGCTGCTATGTTTTGTGAAGAGATGTCCCTTGGCTATATGGTTGGAATATTGCTGACTGTATCTTAAAACAACATTCACTAGTCTACTCTATCATCATATTTTTTCTTTCTTGTCTTCTACACCATCAGTACTAGCACCCTATATAATGACATGTCACTTCATTTGGCTGCTGACCGCCTACGTGGTCTAGTGGTAGAGTGTCCCCCTAGAAGGTGGAAGAACCAGGGTTTGATCCCCGGCTGCGTCATACCAAACACGTTAAAAGATGGTACATGTTGTTACCCTGCTTGGGGCTAAAACCAGGCCTGGCTGGCTCTGAGTCAGTATACTGTGTCTGAGTGGGGTATTCATGTTAAACTGCGGCATGGTATCTCAGTGGGCTAGCACTATAATATCAGCATTAGTCGGGACCAGTACAAGCAGCCATCAACACACACTTGGATGCACGTAGCTATGTAAGTGTCCCTTGGTCATGCCAGAAATCTTTGTTTGTTGGAAAGAATCCTGGTTCACCCCGATTATGTTGCTAAGTTTGCCCACACCGTACACTTGCCAAAAGGTTTCACCAAAGTGGTAAGCATCTGAGACCTTCATAGCTTCCCGCTTTCCTCCCACATGACACGCCGTGATATAACTGGAATACTGTTCAGAGTGGTGTTAAATTCCAAACTCTCACTATGTCAGCTGCTGTGATATAACTGGAATATTGTTCAGAGTGGTGTTAAATTCCAAACTCTCACTATGTCAGCTGCTGTGATATAGCTGGAATATTGCTAAGTGATAAACAGCCAGCATGATGCCAGGTTACCTGCAGCTGTTTAGTCTGTAAGAGGCTGCGATTCAGCTTGTGTTTGTATTTATCTACAGGGTCATCGGCTGAAGAACTCGGAGAACCAGACGTACCAAGCCCTGAGTCAGCTGAAGGCAAAGCGACGTGTCCTGCTGTCCGGCACCCCCATACAGAACGACCTGCTGGAGTACTTCAGTCTCGTCCACTTTGTAAACACTGGCATCCTAGGTAGGGAGGAGTACTTATCAACACTGGCATCCTAATGTGATTGGGTGGTCACAGTGCTTGTTGCAGCGCAGTAATGTCAGTTGGTGGTCACAGTGCTTGTTGCAGACCCGTGAAGATCCGGGGTAGGAAAGGTCTTCAGCAACTCATGCTTGCTGTAAAAGGCAACTTTGCTTGTTGTAAGAGGCGACTAACAGGATTGGGTGGTCAGGCTCGCTGACCAGGCCTCAAAGTTACGACTAAAATGGTTGCCAATGTGACATAAATTTCAATTTGTCTACTGTCTAAAATTCAGAGGTAGCCAAAATACTACCCTGAAAAATATCTTGTGGCGACTACCTTCTATTGGTACACATATGTAGATGCAACAAGTCTGCTACTAATTGTACTCACAAATAATTCCTCCTGAAGTCAACAATGAACCAAAATACATAAATATTAATGTAATTAGTATTTTATTTTAGTTGATTGGATAAGCAGGGATATACATATGTAATCTAGTAACATAAATTGCAACATAGTTCGAGTCACAAAAAACAAAACTCAAGTACAGTTTCCACTAATATACAATTCCAAGACTAGTGCTATGACTTGATATAATAGTTATTTGATCAAAGATAATTTCAAATGCTTTTGGCTACCTACAATATTGGCTCGACTTCTTGATTGATTACTGACTACCTGGAAAACAATACTTGTAGCCATATGGCTACTTGGTAAAAACTTTGAGGCCTGCTGACTTAATTGATGCTTGTCATTGTATCCCATTTCCGTGGATCGATGTTCATGATATCAATTACTGGATTGTCTGGTCCAGACTCAATTATTTTACTGACTGCCGTCATATAGCAGGAATATTGCTGAGTGTGGCATTAAACAACAAATAAACAAACTTGTTGCAGCTCACTGATGTGGGTTGGGTGTCACAATGCTTGTTGCAGCTCTCTGATGTGGGTTGGGTGTCACAGTGCTTGTTGCAGCTCACTGATGTGGGTAGGGTGGTCACAGTGCTTGTTGCAGCTCACTGATGTGGGTTGGGTGTCACAGTGCTTGTTGCAGCTCACTGATGTGGGTAGGGTGGTCACAGTGCTTGTTGCAGCTCACTGATGTGGGTAGGGTGGTCACAATGCTTGTTGCAGCTCACTGATGTGGGTAGGGTGGTCACAGTGCTTGTTGCAGCTCACTGATGTGGGTTGGGTGTCACATTGCTTGTTGCAGCTCACTGATGTGGGTAGGGTGGTCACAAGCACTTGATTTTGGGGGAAATCTCAACTCTATAATTATGTTAGTCACTCACTCACCCACTCATACTGCATACTGAAGCGACCCGTGAAGATCCGGGGTAGAATAGGTCTTCAGCAACCCATGCTTGCCGTAAAAGGCGACTATGCTTGTCATAAAAGGCGACTAACGGGATCAGATGGTGAGGCTCGCTTACTTGGTTGATGCATGTCATCGTATCCCAATTGCGTGGATTGATCCTCATGATGTCAATCACTGGATTGTCTGGTCCAGACTCGATTATTTACAGACCGCTGTCATATAGCTGGAATATTGCTGAGTGCGGGGTTAAACAACAAACAAAGCATACTGAAGCAGCAAAACCACACCCACACCCACACCCACACCCACACCCACACCCACACCCACACCCACACCCACACCCACACCCACACCCACACCCATACCCACACACGCACACAATAACATAATAACATGAATATCAATCATGCCAAACTGCAGAACATTCAGAGCATGAGAGTGGTGTTCTTCATTTTGCCTGATGCGAGACCTTCTTGTGTTGCAGGCACAGCTTCCGAGTTCAAGCGTCGGTTTGAGAATCCCATCCTGCGTGGGAGAGATGCAGGTTCCACCGACGAGGAGCACAAGAAGGGGCAGGAGAAGCTGCAGGAGGTATGACATTTCCCATGGCATGTAAATAGTGAAGCCTTGTGGGGATTCCATGTTGGAAAAGGACCCCGGCAACCAATGCTCGTTGTAGGAGACAACTTAATAGATCGGTTGGTCAGGCTCAGTGACCTGGTTGATTGCTTATCATCGACTTAGACAGCATGGATCGTTGTTCACAAAATATATCACTGGATTGTCTGGCCCAGACTTGAGTATTTACAGGCCACCGTCATACAGGTGGAATATTCTTGTGTGCTGCATTAAACAACGAAAAAACAAATGAATATTGAAATATCAGCATTCCGCAATATTCCAGCTGTATGATGTTGGCCTGTAAATAGTCAAGTCTTGACCAGACAATCCAGTGATTGATATTATGATCAATGATCCATAACCCGTCAGGGTATGATGACCATCAACCAAGTAACAGAGCCTGACCCCCTGGTACATAAATAAACTGACGTAAATCACAAACTTGTGTTCTTCAGCCAGATGTGATATAGGGTTGTTAATGGAAGGTTGACCAATACAAGTGAGTTATCTAGAGTTATCTGTTCAGAGGCTAATATTTGGCCCCAAGTGTGCCAAATATATCAGTAAAAATGCCCAAAGTGGAATAAATAATTAACTATTTTTGTAAATATGGACATGTGACTTGTATTTCACTAACCAAGTTTCTTTAATGCTTAGATTACATTAAGTAATATGTTACCACTGTTATACCAAAGCTGTTGTCCCCAACAACTGCTCTTATAGCGAAATCTTCCACAGAGATCTCAATCACCTCATGCAGCACGTGCGTAGCCACCTAGCTGCCATGTGACACCCTTCACTCTTGTCTCTTCGCTTGCCATAGCAAGACGTGTAATCGACTGCTCTACTGCGTTTCTACGATTTTCCACCTCCTGCATATCCTTGGTGATATTTATTACTGTTTCTTAGTCCTAAGTAAACTGTAAATTACGGGGCGTTTGTTATTCGGCACTTAGAAAAATCGTTGCCCGCGGGGCAGGGTCCCTTGCGAGGACACCCGGTGCACCCTGTGCGAGGGTCTGGGGCCGGAGGATTTTGCGAGATACAGGCGCTACGTGCGCTACCTGAGGTGGCCGGTTCGTCCGGTCGGGCGCCCATTGCGGGCACTACCTCCTCGGCGGCGGATCCCTTGGCGGCCCTTGGGCTGTCCGGGGATTCCATCGCGGCTTTGTTGTCTCAACTGCCTGGTTGTTCCGTCCCCGGCCCCTTCGGTGGCTGCGGGTTCGGACGCGGGGTCCACAGGTACGGCGGCGGCTACCGTAGGCACCGGTCCTTCCCCCGAGCAGATACTCCCCTTATCGAGTAAGGACTGTGTAGCCATGGTGTATGACCTCTTTGAGGACATGCCACGGCCCCAGCCGGTACCCCTGGGAATCCACGGCTCGGTGGGTTCCTCAGAGGTTTTCGACGAGTCCGCCGACAAGGCTTTTCCCGCGTCAACTTTGTTGTGCAGGATCAAGCCGTCTTTCGAGAAAGCCTTCGCGGCGGCCTCCGGTCGGGGACTCCCGTTACCTCCTCCGTCGTTGAGAAAGGGTTCGTTCCCGGTGCATGACCTGGCCTTCCCCGAGGCAGGTCCCACCGCGGAGGCCCATGTGGAGAGGTTGGGTGTCCGTGCTCCACCTACAGTCACTCAAGCGACTTTATAGCAAATGGACACCCTCTCTCAGCACTCCATGCTCGCTATGTCACATGGCGACACCTACTTGGCGGCGGCGGTGGCCAGTCTGGTCGAAGGTTCCCCCACGGACCGAGACCAGCGCATTTATAACTGTTTAATCGGTTTGAATGCAACGCTTGAGTAAGTTGCCGGGGCTTCGGCCTTTCTTTCCGGCACGTGCCATTTCTTGAGGCGGCAAGCGTACCTTACTTTCACAGCCTTGGTATGCGCAGACCCAGATCCCTGGTGTTCTAAAAGAACAGCAGTCTGCTTCGTCTGCCGCGGCTTCGCGGCATACGTTGGATCTGGTTGGGTATCTGCACAGATGCCTGGGTGGTGCCCCTAAGGAGTCCAAGGGGTCAGTGTCTTCTTCCTCCGGGAAGAGGTCCCGCCCTGAGGGCCCCGGTAAGGGCAACATGCCGCCCTTTCGGGGGAAGAAGGGACACTGGGGGAAGCCTAAGCCGTCTCGGGACGGTAAAGGCTCCTCTCTTATTGGGAGAATTGGGAACAAGTGTTCGACGACCCGTGGGTGGTCAACACGATCAAATACGGCTATCGGCTAGATCTCAAAGCGGATCCGCCGCTCACCGTCGCCCCGTTGGAAGGTTTCAATTCGGAAGCCGATCTTCCCATCCTCGCCGATGCCATCGGCAGGTTGGTGGAGAAGAGGGTGGTACGGGAGTTAACAGAAATAACACCGGGGTTTTTACTCCAGGATATTTCTTGTTCCCAAGGACAGTGCCGAACTCAGAATGATTCACAATCTGAAATCGTTCAACGAGTTTTACCTGCGAGTTTTAAGCCGCCCCAATTTCAGAATGTTGACCTTGGCGGACCTGAAAGCTCTGATCATGCCGTCCGACTGGCTCGCTTCGATCGACCTGAAGGATGCTTATATGCATGTTCTGATTCACTCGGACCATCACAAGTATCTCAGGTTTGTCTTTCAAGGCAGGCACTACGAGTGGGTTGTACTCCCATTCGTCCTTTCGTCCGCTCCCTGGCTGTTCACCCGGTTAACCACCCCCATAGTGGGGTTCCTCCACAGGAGGGGTGTCAGGTAATTCGCGTACCTGGACGACGCGCTAGTGGCAAATCGAATGACGGACACCCTGTCACGCCAACTCGATTTCGCACTTCGGCTCTTGGAGCAATTGGGGTGGATTGTCAATCTCCCCAAGAGACCGGATCTCCTGATCCACCCTCACACCCGTCAGCTTCATCCAAACGCAGGGCAGTTCAATCTGCACGCTTGGATGTTGTCACCGAGCGTCTGAGGAGTAAAGGTTTTTCTCGTCGGGCGTCTCGGGCATACATTAGTATGCATCGCGATTCTACCCAGAAGGTGTATAATGCACGTTGGGCTTTTTTCATGAAGTGGTGTTGTAAACATCACATTCATTCGCCAGATAAGGTATGTGTGCAGGATATTGCTCGTTTCATGTCTCACGAGAGACCCGGAAACTCTCCGGGGGTTCCATTGCCAACTATGTCTCGTCCGTTGCTACGGTAAGGGACGTTGCTATGGGTACCAGTCTCTCAAAAGAGCCGGTGATTCGTGGTATTATCAAGGGTTTCAAGCAGCAAGATCTTAAAAAGGGCCGCCCTCGGGCACCGGCCTGGGATCTCTCCTTAGTGTTGCAATCACTTACGGAGGCTCCGTATGAACCCTTAAAAAAAACTTCGTTTCGGCATGTGACTTGGAAAACAACATTTCTCCTCTCCTTTGCCACGTACAGCGGCACGTGTGTCTGAGATTCACGCACTCGATGTCACCAAAGTACGATTTGATAGGGGCGATGTAGGAGCGGTCTGCCTGGGCCTGCTCATGGACTTCGTCGCTAAGAATCAGAAATTTGGCCAAACGGAGAGAGAATTCACTGTAAGATCACTCAAGGAAATCTTACATCCTGCTGATACCGAGGACAGATCGCTATGTCCGGTTAGGGCCCTTAAGTATTATCTTAAGGCTTAATGAATGTAGACAAGGGCATGACCGTCTGTTCATATCATGTAACCCTAATCGGACTGCTGACATAACTCGCAACTCGATTGCGTTATGGCTTCGTTCTGTCATCAATCTGGCGTATCGGTCTCGGGGGTTACCGGTTGCGGGGTCAAACCCGCACGAGATTAGGGCGCTAGCGGCAACATTTGCCCTACACTCCAATATATCTGTTCACAGAATATTGCGGGGTTGTTACTGGCGTTCTGACTCGGTTTTTGCCAATCATTACCTCAGAAAGGTCTCTGATGAAGACGTGGAGGGTGTGCACCGTCTTGGGCCGCTAATCACGGCACAAGCGGTCATCTAAGGGGTGTGCCAGGCGCAATTCTGAACTCCTCAGGCTTCAGACCTTGCACGGTGGTCAATCTGGGTCTACTCCAACGTTCTCACAGCCGTGGGTACGGGAGTAGGGGTCTCACAAGCCAGCGCGCTCATCCACAGGTAAGTGCGGCTTTCTGTGTGTTTCTTTATTTTGAATTGACAATTATGTACTTAATTGTCTGTCGTGTATCGCAACCTTGTAATGCATGCTTTCAAATATTGAATTTAGGTCACGCGCCTATTACATACGCTTAAGTAGGCTTGTTCTTGGGATAAACGGTCTGAATGAAATTAATTTCCCTCTTTTCGACTGTTTAACCTGTTCTAAGATTCAGCTCATACGGATACTGTGTTCTCATCCGCTGCGGCGATGAAATACCTATCCAGTGGGGCCGTTTGGAGTCACCAATCGTTTGGCAATAACGATTGAGCCTTACGGTATGCGTTTGACAGTGCTTTGGTATCCCTATATGGTAACGCCAAGCTGGGAGCATGCGCATCGAGTGCTTCCGCCTTGTTGTATACTTCCGCTGGTTGGAAGAAACACGAGCAGTCAGGTTTCGGGTTGTAGGTGCTCCCCACCGCCTACTGTGGTAGTCAGCCTCGGTATAACAGTGGTAACGTATTACTTAATGTAATTTGTAGAATTTTCCTATTCGGAATATTCTATAAGTAATACGTTACCACTGGGCTGCTGCCCGCCCGTCCGTCCCCCGAGCACTTGCTCTCGCAAGAGACAAGAGTGAAGGGTGTCACATGGCAGCTAGGTGGCTACGCATGTGCTGCATGAGGTGATTGAGATCTCTGTGGAAGATTTCGCTATAAGAGCAGTTGTTGGGGACAACAGCCTCAGTATAACAGTGGTAACGTATTACTTATAGAATATTCCGAATAGGAAAATTCTACAATTTTGCATCGTTGCACTGAATGCAGTGTTTAAATACAATTTTGAAATACCTCTGATTTTGAGAAAATAACAAATCTGGTAAATGATATAGTCTTTAGTTTGGAGTTCTTTGTTATTGTATGCTGTATTTCTGTTTCAGCTTGCTGCCGTAGTGAACAAATGCATTATCAGGAGAACACAAGCTCTTCTCACAAAGTACCTGCCAGTTAAAAGTGAGTTCATCCATCATACTACATAGTTTGGAGTTTAAGTTGAGTGGGTGGCTCAGTCGTCTGAGGCGCTGCAATATGCTGTGCAGAGTTACGTCCCTTTGGAATGCCATAACCTATGATGTTGGTTTCGAATCCAGGTTTGCCCCAACTATGTTTCAAAGTTTGGCAGCACCATACCTCGTGGTACCGGTAAACGTCTGAGACCTGCATCACTCAGGCTTTCCTCCTACGTTAAGCTGTCATACAGTGTGTGACTGAAATAATGTTAAAAGCGGTATTCACTCCCAATATTAAACCCGATATTACAGTATGTAAGCCTTTTGTTGAAGGAAGCCCAAAGTTATACAGGTCTCAGATGTTTACCACTTAAATGAAACCCTTGAGGAAATTGAAAAGCTGTACCAACATTCGTTTAATAAACAAGAACAATTACTAAATTGACAGTCATATCCTCCAATCTGGAGAGAAAAACTATATCTGACAGGAGTCAGTTAAAACTTTGATTAGAAGGAAAGCAATGAATGTCTGGATCAGCATGTTCCAAGCAAGTTTACCGTATTCGACGTAATAAGTGTCCCGCTCTAATAAGCGCCCACGGTGATATTTGCTAATATATTGGCTTGTGAACAATCCCATTTAGCACCCCTTCCGATTGATCAATGTACACAAGACTTATTTATTAGCGTATAATACGCACTCATGTGTTATATGCATTCTTAATTATGGGCAATTAAATTCTTGAAAAATATATCTGTCGCATAAAAACATTTCAGTCTGTCAACATAAACCACGAAATTTATCTTTCAACTCTGATTTTTCCACCAAAATAATATTCTAATAAGAGCCCCCTATCTCTAAATTTGATAGCGCCCTGGGCGCTTATTACGTCAAATACGGTATGTGTTTTTCAATATTGGGCATAAGGTTTCTAGCTGTTGTAAATATCAGTTGGTAATTTTCCATCACACTGTATTTCTACATGTACGCACCGCCTCCGTGGTCTTGTGGTAGAGCGTCCGCCCGGAGAGCGGAAGGTCCGGGGTTCGATCCCCGGCCGCGTCATACCAAAAGACGTTAAAAGATGGTACTTGTTGTTACCCTGTCTGGCGCTCGACATTAAGGGGCTAAAACAAGGACTGGTCGGCTTGGAGTCAGTATACTGTGTCTGAGTGGGGTATTCATATTAAACTGCGGCATGGTATCTCAGTGAGCTAGCACTATAAATCGGCATCAGTCCGGACTAGCACAAGCAGCCATACAAACACACACACGTGCATGCACGTCGCTATATAAGTGCAATAATCTTGGATGCGACGTTAAACCCAATTTCACCTCACCTCTACATGTACTCAAACAGCTATGAGATGGACATAACACTATGACAGCCTAGAGTTGCCGTAACAGTTAGGAACATATAACAGACTAGACATCCACCTGAGCAATGGTATATTTGCAAATACAGGCTAGAGAGCCATTCAGTACGTATGTGATTTGTCCCACACAGTTGAGCTGGTGATCTGCTGTAAACTCACCCCCCTGCAGTCGGCCCTGTACAAGCAGTTTGTGTCATCCAAGGCGTCCGACTGTGATGTGACGTCTAACGGCAAGATTGCAGTCAGCAGCCTTTCCGCCATCACTCAGCTGAAGAAACTCTGCAATCGTAAGTCACTCATGTCAGGATGTAGAATGGATTAAACCAAACAGAAGCAAATCATTTCATTCTTTTTTCAAGCAGTTGTCAGTGAATGTTCTTTGAAAGACAACATGGTTCTGGTCAGGAGTGTTTTGATCTGTGAATGTTTAGTCGCTCAGTGCTACATTTTAAAGACATCAGGTCAATTTGGTGCACATGAATTTTACCAGTAACCTATCCGCCATATCAATTTGATGCTACTGATACAGCCACATGCAGTAGCATTGCTATTTTTAAGAATAGGACAATAAAGCTCAACATAAGGCTAAAAAAAAAATAGTCTTGGTTCTCAGGCACCGCCCACATCATCCTACAGTTCGCCGCACGTGTCGTTTTTATTTCAATTTTTTTTTTTTTTTTTTTTATATATAAAAAATCCTTAAATATTCCAAGTCCCACTTGTATTCCAGTATTTTACTCATCAAGGAATGCATTTATGTAGGGAGGCCCTTTCCCAGGCTGATTGTACACAATTGTATTATTGATGACACAACTGTTTATTGGTTACATTCTAGTTTGTACAACTTAAAAAAACAAAAAAAAGACACCCCCCGCCCGCACTATATTTTCAAAAACCATTGCCTGAGAACCAGTTCTTTTATTTTTTTAAGCCTAAGAAGAAAAAACTTCTCTAGTTTCATCTGTATGGTTTAATATGATTAAATCTCAAAATTGAATATCAAAGCAGTTCATAAAGATCGAAAATTGGACATCAACATGAAATAAATTACACACATTAGAAGATCCATAATAGCGTGCGGCAACCTTAACAGTGATATCCATCAGGTCAAATTTCAGCACAAGTTTGTTTAAACTTACATTTACTTGATAGCATTTATTTCAAGCCATTGGTGGAAGAGCAGCCCTCCACAGCCCTGCTTTTAAGCGACGCTTCTAAAAATGGCATCTGAAAAATAGAAACTGGTCCTAAGAAAAGAGCTTGTGCACATCCCTTACCAAAATGGTGGAAAGTGTTCGGTGTAATGCATGGTGGCCTTTGTGGAAGTTTAGCACCATGTGTACATTTTAGAGAAGTAGAGTTAATGTTATTGCATTACGGCTGAAATGATACATTTTGTCTCTGTATATCATTTTGTCACCTGCATCTTCAAAGGGAATCCTGGAGACCCAACCAAACATGTTTAGTCAGTTATAGTCAATTATGAAAACAGCAGTTTGAGAACTGTGTGCATACTGTCCGAAAATGGTATTTGAAATTAATTTAGTTATCATTTTACGTTTTCTCCTCTTATACCCAGTTATTGTATTGTTGTAGATTGGTAACCTTATGATTCACATTGTTGCACAATACGATGCAACAAAGCCTTTACGAATCAGAACACCCCTATATTGCATATGGTTTTTTTTACTTAGGGCTACAAATGTTACCGATTGGTTTGATATGAGACGTTACACACTAGCCCTATTGTTTGTCACAGGTGTTCATATCCCACGTATTTATTTCCATTTATTTACCGATGAAATGTGAAAGTTTGTTCTTCTTTGCCAGTGTGTAAAATAGTTACATTGCATGCATGCGCTTCTAAGATCAAAGGATGTATAGTGTGAAAAGTTAACTAGTTGAACAATCGTATTTCTGGGACTTGCCGCGGATATTTTCAAACAGATTATTAGAACTCCATTCAGCGATAAACCGTTGATTATGCAATGAGAAGCGTTATGTGCAAATAAACAACGAACAACAATACAATCATGTCTGTGTAAAACTCTCAGTATTAAAAGTGTACATAAATTTTGGGAGTCATGCGTTACCGCGCGTAATAACCGAAGTAGCGCTTTATCGAAGAGCGCAATAGCGAGCGATCACTGTACTAACTTTGACCTTGAGCTTCAAGTTAGATGAAACAGTCGGTAAGACTTTCGCCGATATCCCCCCTCAAAACTCTATATAATTAAAAGGATGGAGCGGCAATGCATACATATATTACTTTTGGAAGGGGGACACGGGCGGAAGTCTTTCCTAACAGTCGAGTATGTACATTATACACCTTGCTGCGTGGCCCTGGCGTACAAGTTTGCACTAGGTTAAGGTCAAGGTCAGTAACCATGACTTACTTCGTGGCATCATTGTATCCGCAGACCCTGACTTGGTGTATGAGAAGTGTGTGGAGGGAGCAGACGGCTTTGAGGGAGGCCTCGACTGTTTCCCCCAAGGTCATGACCTGAAGAAGATCAGGCCTGAAATGTCAGGTAAGTTCGTATCTGAGGAATGGCAAGTGACTCCATGGCATGTGATTGATGGGCTTACCAAGCCATTTCTTGACATGGTGTATGAGACTTGGTGTTTGTTTCAATAAACCCAGAAAATAGGAGGGAGATATTTGGGTGGGTGGGTTTTGGGCTGCATTATTGCACTGAACAATGTCACTGGTTACATTTTGTCGTCAACATTTTTTGTGATAATAAATAAATAAGCAGGTCTGAGAAGTTATTTTTATTAACATATTTATTTATGAGAATTGACTTTGATATGTTTTTTGCATGTATGGAGTATGAATGTAAAAGTCAATGTGCACACTTTGTGTAAATCAGCTTGATTGTTTTTGATAGTATGTGGTGTATTAGAGGAAAGCATGAACAGTATTCCAGTTATCATGGCATGTTAGCTTGATGTGGGGGAAAGCCTGAAGTGATGTAGGTTTTAGACATTTACCACTTTAGGGAAACCCTCAAGCATGGGTATGGTGCTGACAAACCTAGAAACATAGTCAAGGTGAATCTGGGATTCAAACCCACAATCATAGTTTACCGACATGCCTAAGGGATGCAACTCTTATTAAAAAAATCTGAATATATTTGTTTATGCACTTATTTGTTGGTGTGATGATGTAGGGTTATGTCCCTTTGTAGGCAAGTTCGTGGTGCTGGACACCCTGCTGGCTGTGGTGAAGTCAACAAGCAATGACAAGGTGGTGCTTGTGTCCAACTACACGCAGACACTCGACCTGTTTGAGAAGCTCTGCAGACAGAGGAAGTGAGTACAGTACACGGTATAGGTGCCAGGTGCTATAAATCGCAGGGGCGGTGGGGTAGCCTAGTGGTTAAAGCGTTCGCTCGTCACGCCGAACACCTGGGTTCAATTCCCGATATGGGTACAATGTGTGAAGCCCATTTCTGGTGTCCCCTGCCGTGATATTGCTGGAATATTGCTAAAAGCGGCGTAAAACCATACTCACTCACTATCAATCGCAAAGAACAATGAAGAACGAGGTGTGGTTTGTTTCACAATAAATAATTGTTCTTTCATGATGTTATTTCTGAAGATTGGAACATGCGTTCCCAACTTGATGACGTTGTATATGGGACGACTTTTATTTTATGAGGGGGCTGTCTAGTGAGTCGTTCCCCAAAGATGTAGCTGACAATAGAATTGTGACAATATGTGGGAAATACACACCTGTGCAAAAAATGAAGTTGTCCAACATTGTCGAGGTCGGATTCTATTGAGGGAGTCATCATTATTAAAATACGGGGAAATATTTTGAAGCCTGTACGTTTCATCATCATCCTTAAAGAGGCTGTACATAATGTTGATATCTCATATAAGAAATAAACGATGTCGTTTATTTCTTACATAAAGGAGGACCTTTACTAATCCACTTTATCAGCGACATTCTGATTGATGAAAGGTTGTTCTGACGTGATCTGTAATGGAATGTCCTCCGATTTTTGTGTAGTTGTAGCGACCTCTAAGATCAGATTTAAATTAGATTAAACCGTACCATATTATTGACTGAATTGAAAACAAAAGTGTAGCCTAACACATTTCAATGAGATATGAGAGTTCTCTTGGCTTTTAGAGATAAAGGTCATCTAATTAGCTGGTTTTCTGGTCATGTAAGAGTTGCTTCCCCTCATGTGCAGTGCTCTGTTTCAGCTACCAGCATGTGAGACTGGATGGATCCATGACTATCAAGAAGAGAGCCAAGATAGTGGAAAGATTCAATGATCCCACTGTAAGTTTTCTGCTGTGTATGTTCAGACCATTGTTACTTTAATGGAATCAGGTTAATTCAGGAGGTTAGGATGATGGATGAACTCCTCAACATGACCCATGTGTATTTATCATTAATGATATTGATCATTGCATCACGACCTTACTTTATAAACTTACTGCAACTTTTGCCTATTGTATTGTAGGTATTTCCTATGTCATTGTAACCTTGTGAGAGGTACTACTTTCATGTGAGGCCTGCTGACAGGTTTTATATCTGAATTGTAAGACCTAGCGTTTTCAAATTGAAGTTTATAAACGGGCCTTTGATATGAATATAATGTTGATTTTTGAGTGATTAAAAGTCAGTTGTTTTTGTCACATGAAAATTCCAAGATGTAAATCGAATCTGCAACCTCACATATTGTGTTAAGTTTTGTAACCCATTGTTTTCCGACTCAGCAACCAGGGCAGATGATGAAAAGTTCTTCAGTTTTACATGTCATGACTTCAGTTGAATGCATGCTGCACATGATCATACTCGCACGCTTTGATCAAATTCCTTTTATACCACTACACCATGTATTGTTTCACTGTAAGGTATCCCAATGTTTTCTTATTTTCCTGGTATTTCTTGCATTTAGGTTCATAAGTTTGATAAAACACACCTCCTTGGTTTTGGTTGAAAATGTAAACCCGCAAAAAGGGAAAAGCCCGAGGGACGTATCCTTAACCTCAAGATGCATAGACTTGTTAAGCTGAAAATTAAGGTACACAAGTAGTCTGAAGTTAAAATAAAGGCAGATATAAATGTACTTTGAATGTTAGATCACTCATTCAAAGTATTTTTTTACCTTCCTTCATTTTTACTGTAGAATATTTGTTTATCTTAACTGTTAGCTTAACTTGTCAAAAATCGCAATGGCTAGATGGATGGTGTAAATCCTGCTGGGGAACCATGTAGGTAGTAGTGGTAACATAAGTCCCCATGGCCCCCAATGGGGTAATCTACCTTTGGTTGCTGGCGATCTATAGCTCCATTTTAATATTGTATTGTCAGGAAATAGTCACAAGTAATGATCTCATTGTGATTTGAACATGATCATCTAAAAACCATGATAATTTTGTTTTTATTTATTTTATTTTACTGTATAACTTGTTCTAATCCTGATATATACTCCATGAGTATTCCAGGTTAGTATAGGTCCCCAGCAATTTGTGTGTCCGTAAGAGGCTTGGTGACATGGTCGACAGTGTGTCATTGTACCTCGATGGAGAGGATCATTGCCTATAATAACAATCACTAGATTGTCTGGTCCAGACTCCCATTATTTACATGAAGCGGTCATACCGCTGCGACAGTGTTGAACTAAACAAAACTTAGGGCTCGAAATCTTTTCCTCGTGTCTTTGGATTACCATATGATTCCTGTTCCCAGAGCCCAGAGTTCATCTTCATGCTGAGCAGTAAGGCAGGTGGGTGTGGCCTCAACTTGATAGGAGCCAATCGGCTGGTGATGTTTGATCCTGACTGGAATCCAGCCAATGACGACCAAGCTATGGCCAGATGCTGGCGTGACGGACAGAAGAAACAGTGTTTTATATACAGATTTATTGCAGTAAGTTCATGACAGTTACAGGGCAGCGTGAGTGACTGAGATACATTTAACTCTGCTTTAAACAGTATTCTGGTCATGTCACAGCTTGTCAGCCTAATGTGACAGGAAAGCCCAAAGTGATGCAGGTCTCAGACGCTTACCTCTGTGTTAACCCACGAACACAGGTATGGTGCTGACAAACCTAGACCTGCCAAGCATGTATTTGGCCCCAAGACTGCAGCAAATGTCAGTACAAATTCCCAAATTGGGATTTAAACATTTCCTGATTGATCATGTTCATGTTAATAATATCCTTATCACAGGCAAGTGACTTTGTTCAACATGTGCCTCTGTGCAGTGTATTGGTACCCAGTAGGATGAGAGGGCAATGTGGCTGTTAACCTGCTAGTGCCTCACAGGCAACTTGGGTTGTATACTCCCCAGGGAGTTGAGAATGAAAATTGAGAGCACACTGATCCATTGACAGGGGTAATAATGTAGCTCTTTGAACAGACTTTATGGTGTGGGTTTGGCTCATCATAAGTACAGTGATCCCTCGGTACAACGCTACCTTCAGGGTCCAAATAATTGATGAGCGTTAAAGATGATCAGTTTAACGAAGGTCGAGTAGTAGGTGGTAGATGACCAAGAAAACAGTATACATGCTCTGCCTACCTAACACGATCTATGTTGCACGTTTCAGAAGTTATTTATGATTCATAGTGTAAAAAAAAGAATTGATCGAGTATTACCGGTAATCTGCGCTTTCAAATTTTGGGAGCCATGCTTTACCACGCGCTATAACCGAGTTAGTGCTATAGTGAAGGGTGCAATAACGAGGGAACACGATATGCACATTATTATTACATGAATTCCCTCACTTCTACCTCTGTGTTCACCTTAACACATGTTTACTGATCGTGTTTAGTCTTGCATTTTGAAAATTACTTGAGAATGATAACATTGATCTTTGTATAAATAATTTTATTCGATCCTGATAATGTAAAGTATTGCTTGAAAGAAGCATTTTTGTTTACCATCTGCTAAAGCTGGACAGGAGGCATGTTAGTTTCTATATTTTAGTTTTGTTAAACTGTTCAAGGCCTCTGAGCATTAACTGTAGGCAGATTCACATAAATGTTTATTGTGTTTTTTATCAAGAACAGAAAGACTGGAACAAGTGTACAGTTTAGCAACAAGTCCAAATCTTGAATTGAGTGATAATTCATTTGTTGCTGCATTATAGAAGGTGGACATTTCACTGCGAGTGGGATGAGTGATTGTGGGTGTGTGTTACAGACTGGCACGATAGAGGAGAAGATCTTCCAGCGCCAGGCTCACAAGAAGGCCCTCAGCAGCTGTGTCGTGGACAACGAGGAGGATGTGGAGAGACACTTTAGTCTCGATGAGCTCAAAGATCTCTTCAAACTTAACGAGACCACTATCAGCGATACACATGATAAGTATGTTCACTGGTTTATTCTTCTCATATACTGTGTGAAATAAGTAAGGGGACACTTTAGTCTCGATGAGCTCAAAGATCTCTTCAAACTTAACGAGACCACTATCAGCGATACACATGATAAGTATGTTCACTGGTTTATTCTTCTGATATACTGTGTGAAATAAATAAGGAAACACTTAGTTTTAGACACAGTAAAATGATATGTTATCAAGGGCTCCCAGCCTTGTCCCCCAAATATGTGTTGGAAAGAATGCACACAAACACATCTCAACATTTGATTCCGACTTGTGTTGAATTTGTATGCACGTTATTTCAAATGTACCGACAGTAAAGCTTATTTCCCTATATGTTTCATTGTTCCCTAATTTGTTTCTGTCAGTATGTTATCGGAAGTTGCTGTTATTGAAATAGAAACAAAGCAATAAGATTATCAACTTAGTTTTGGAATTACATGAGGGACGGTGGGGTAGCCTAGTGGTTAAAGCGTTTGCTCGTCACGCCGAAGACCAGGGTTCGATTCCACACATGGGTACAGTGTGTGAAGTCCATTTCTGGTGTCTCCCGTCGTGATATTGCTGGAATATTGCTGAAAGCTGCGTAAAACCATACTCACTCACTGACTTGGAATTACATGGCTGTATGGCGCTGTAGTAGATGTATGGCTGTCAACAATGATATCATCAGGCTTTGGTTCTTCGACCAAAAGACCGTAACAAAATAAAAAATGTAATTTGGGAAAGTTTGCATCTATGCAAGTGTAGCAGGGCATGGAGCTATCCCATCCTATAAACCTCAATCAGGCTTGACCCAAATGGGGATTCTGGGTTGAAGCAAAAGTCATTGCTGTTGTAAGAAGTGACGTAATGGTTGGGTGGTCAGGTTCTGATTGCATTTCAACGTACCCAACAACGTGGGGCATTGCTCATAATATCAACCACTGGTTTGTCTGGTCTAGACTCAATTTTTTACCAGATCGTTATAATATAACACAGCGGTAGAAAGTAACATATTAAGTATAATGATATCATGGAGCAAAATCCTTAAAAATAGCAATTTTCTTCTAGTCCTTATGATACCTTAACTATTGGGCAGGGTGACAAGAACTACCGGACTAGTGCCAATTTGAAACACTTTACTAGAATTGCTGATTGCAGTGTTAAACAACAGACAATAAACACTCCTGCTGCTTGTGTTCCAGGTTCAAGTGTCGGCGGTGTGTGAACAACATCCAGGTGAAGCCCCCTGCCCCCGACACCGACTGCAACTCCGACTTGTCTCAGTGGAACCACTGCGCTGATAAGAAGGGGCTGCCAGACATGGCCCTCAAGGCAGCATGGGACTCCGCGATCTCCTTCGCTTTCCACCACTATTCCCATGAGGCTCAGCGCGAGACGGTCTAACATTCAGCTGAACACTCTCCTGTGCACAACAACTGTTGACCATTCTGTGGAATATACTGTATGCTCAGATGGTGTCAACGATTGATGCAATCCAATACTGTGGACCCTCCTGTGGAATATACTGTATGCACAGGTTGTGTCATTGATTGGCTCACTCCAATACTGTGGACCATGTTATGGAATATACTGTATGCACAGGTTGTGTCATTGATTGGCTCACTCCAATACTGTGGACCATGTTATGGAATATACTGTATGCACAGGTTGTGTCATTGATTGGCTCACTCCAATACTGTGGACCATGTTATGGAATATACTGTATGCACAGGTTGTGTCATTGATTGGCTCACTCCAATACTGTGGACCCTCCTGTGGAATATACTGTATGCTCAGATTGTGTCATTGATTGACGCAGTCCAATACTGTGGACCCTGCTGTATAATATCCTGTATGCTCAAATGCATACAAAGCAGAGCAGATGGTGTCAACAATTGACTCACTTAAATACTGTGGACCTGGCTATGTAATATCCTGTGTGTTTAGATGCTTGCAGAGCAGAGAAGTTTTCTGGTGCTGAATATGTGCACAGGTCTACATTTATAGTCTCTGTTCAAATAGGAGTGAAGTTGATCATTCTGGTGCCTTTGTCAGTGTGGATTGGAAGATCACAGTTGTTCTGAGGAATTTTAAAATGTGTATGATGCAGACAACAGTCTCTAGCAAGTTTTCCTACTCTTGTGTAATTGCAATGTGTAGAAAGTGGTGAAGGGGCTTGAGACAAATATGTACAATCTGTGCTGTAATCTTTTTCTTTCTTTGTTTTAGCTACCCCTTGTGTCGGTGATTGACAGTGAATTGTATTTCTGTACCTAAACATGATTGATTAGTTAAGTTTACTGGCCAAACAGTTCCGAGTCAGGAGCAGTGGCTAGAGGTTGAAGTCAGAGGCCGGTACGCTTGTGTGATCTTACTGTACACTACCCAACTCACTAGTGCTCATGACCGCCTCCGTTGTCTAGTGCATTGTGCGTCTGCCCGGAGAGCAGAAGGTCAGTGGTTTGATCCCTGGCCATGTCATACCAAAAGACATTAACAGATGGTACTTGTTGATACCCTGCTTGGCATAAGGTAATAAAATGCCTGTTCGCTATACTGTGTCTGAGTGGGGTAGCCATGTTAAACTGCGGCATGGTATCTCAGTGGGCTAGCACTCTAAAACACGCGTACTTTCAGAGTAGTACAAGCAGACACCCACGCACGCACGCACGCACGCGCACGCACACACACACACACACGTGTCACTGTATAATTGCAATATCTTGAAAGCCATGTAATACATTTCACCTCACGACTAGTGCTAAAAGAGGATGTTTCATGAATTCTCCATGTTGTGTCATGCTGGTACATGAAGACACTTTTACAAGACCATGTGATACATATTTATCTAACATTGTCAAAAGCATGTGCATTTCTCCCAACAATGTGTTCATGGAAGTATTTTCATATTTATTCTGACACAGGACAGGTTTGCCCCCAGTCAACGTGAATGTGTTTTTATGTCATGGGAGGCACATGTAATGTGATTGAAGGATGTGGATGAACTGTTTTCATCTTTCCAATGTAAACAACAAAATCCTTGAATATGATGGATCTATGCCAGAGCTGGTCAGGCAGGATCTCTCCCCCATTCTGCCTGTTTGTGTCAGTTCTGCTGTGAATCTGTCACTGTCAGTGGAAATGAAGAAGTTACCAGCATTACCTGTGTTCTGTTGTAATTTTCCCACTGTGTAGACCATGTCCAGTGATTGAGTTGTAATATTCTCTATTCCAGCTATATTTTCACAGTGGCTTGTAATTATCAAATCAGGGACAGATTTACAAGGGGTTGATATAATGAACATTGATCTGATTTTTTTTTGTGGAAAAAGGTAACAGAAAACAAGAAGGATTAGTAGAAGTACCTAGAGTTACCAAAGCTAATTACTGTGTTTTACTGGTGTGCACGTCTGGATCAGATGAACTCGTGACATACATCAGGAACGATGTAATTAACCAAGTCAGGACCACCCAATCTACTTTGCCTCTTATCACAATCAGAGGCGGTAGGGTAGCCTAGTGGTTAAAGTGTTTGTTCATCACACCAAAGACCCAAGTTCATTTCCCTACATGGGTACAATGTGTGAAGCCTATTTCTGATGTCCCATGCAATGATATTGCTTGAATATTGTTAAAATTGGTGTAAAATACAACGCACCCACTATTATCACAATCAATGCAAGTAATAACATTTGTCATAATTATACTATTACTAATCTATGATCCAATTTGGGAATGCTAATTCATATTCTATATGGGTGATTGGGTTTGAAATATTTGCTTCTGAGAGGGCCTTGATTAATTCCTGGAGCAGTGCCATCCAAATTATCACGACACTCCCTTCTTCATTCCAGACCAGTGAAAACATGGGTGCACACATATCCTCCACATTGTGCTTTGATTTTTGTTAGTGCAAGTTTAGAGGCGATTCTGTAAGAAACTCAATACTTTGGCCCATGCTATCAAACACTTGTTTAGCGTGGCCTGACTCGGCCCAGACCAATTATTGCTACATCACTGTGATGAAGCTGGTAGCGTGAATGGTGCAGGAATAACAGTGAATAACACAACATTCACTCACTCACTCAATTCATGAGCCCCGGATCATGGTAATCTGCTTCACAAATTGGTCAACACAATGAACACTTGACAGGGATAAGGCCAATTGTCCTAAATCAGAGAAAAACTTCAGATTTCGGGGGCAGTAGGGTAGCCTAGTGGTTAAAGCATTCGCCTGCCACACTGAAGACCCACGTTCGATTCCTGACAGGGGTACAATGCCTGGGATATTACTTGAATATTGCTAAAAGTGTTGTTAAATCAAACTCACTACAGCAAAATTGATCCTCAGTAAAATTTGATTCATTGGTGACTTCAGTTTCCTGTTTCTAATGTGCTAAGTTTTCCAGTGGTCACAATCTTTGATCATCTTGAATACGAGAACCAAAATGCAAAAGTAACATGCACAAATCATGCAAATCTGGTAACCATGGTAACTAAACTTACACTTTATAACAGGCGCCATGTTGCCCAGCTACATATCAGGTGAATCTGGATGAGCAGGGATAGACATGGCCACTATCGGTTTGTCTGAGACTAGTTGGTATGGACAAGTCGGCATCAAAGTCTATGGCGAGTAGCACAGAGATAGGTTAATACAGCTTGCAAAAATCTGATCTGTCATAGAGACCATGAAACAAATATATCCAAGACAGCCCATGTAAGTCTACAATTGTTGGCAAGTGTAGATTACAGCAGGGTTTTTTTCTGTAATGAGTCTTAGTTGATGCATGTCATCATTGTATCCGAATTGCAAAGATAGATACTCATGATGTCAATCACTGGATTGTCAGGTCCAGACTCGTTTATTTACGGACCGCTGGAATATAGCTGGAATATCGCTGAGTGCTGCGCTAAACAACAAACAATCATCATCCAAAAAATGGTGGTCTTGATCATGTTGATAAAACCTAAACAATTTTGCCAGATAGGTTTAACTGGGTTTCACCATGTGCATCATACAACCCCTTGCAACTTAATGGATAAGGTTCACTTGGTTGATAGCTAATACAATGTCAACCACTGGTTCATTGACTGTGCCATGTTTGCAGGTTGCCGTCAGACAGCTGGAATAATGCTGAGTGCTGTATTAACAACAAACTCACTGTACAGCTGTTCAAAGCCTTATCAACAATACAAACCTTAACTTTAAAATTGGGAAGTTATATGATATAAATAACCATGACATACAAAAACAAATAATTTCATGACATTTATTCTTGCTCTTTGACAATATGCCAAGAGAAATCCAATTATGAACAATTTGTACACAAGCTAACATACCTGTACAGATATATGGTACATGTTGCATACAATAAATGTACATGGATATTTACAGGTTGATATGTACACTGAAGTTTTGCCCAACCATGGTGACAGTTACTACAAATACACCAAAGCCACAAATACTTCATGCAGTCTTTACATCATTAACATGTTCAAAATGATTCAGCACCTTCAAAAATCTTAAACATCAACTTAAGTGCCTATTTTGTTAAGCTGTGTACCACTCATTCTGAGGGTACCCATGTTAGTTTTTACTAATTAAATCACAGAATACCAGAAAACTGTATTATTGTGTGGAAACTATTTTGTCCAAAAATTTTAATCCTACAAATAATGGAGATGTGTCAAAAGTCACCACATAACATTTTCAAACTTTAAACAAGAACACAATGCTCCACAGATAATCAAATGCTAGGACTGTCATTGAGACAGCCAAGTTCCCCTTTAGTTTAAACATATTAAAACTGTGACACTTAAAACAATTAAACTGAAAGAATATGTACATTACTGAAATTAATAGAAATGATTCATAATCATGATAATAGATCACAAATGTTTTCCACCCAATTTTTCTGCAATTTCTCATGCAACAACAAACACAATCAGTCAAGAATACACCACAAAAAAGATACATCAACAAAATGTTACAGTGATTAACTCAGGCCCATTGATGAAGAGATGAAGAACTGTTAGACCTGTTAAGCAGCAATTTCCCTGATGCTGAATATAGAGATTCCTCCACTGAGTAGACCATGATGCTTATCTGGTGCAGATGAGTCACTTGTCAGACTTGTGAGATAAAAATAGACTACATGATACAATCCACAAAAGCGCCAATGTACGCAGTTCTCTCGGTAAGAATGGGGGCACTCAGCAAGAAACACCTGGCCACTGACTAAATGCAAAAATTGCACATTAGGTACGGGGTAGCATCTGCTTCAGATTGTCCTTAGCAATTTGTGATAGTTTATCAGGGAAGGACACTGAGAACTCTATAATGAGATCCCCTCTTTTTCCTGCTTGTTTGGGGTAAGGTAGTCCTTCTCCCTGGATTTTTTTAATACTACCTGGTTTTATCACATCAGAAATGTTAAGAGGTATTTTCCTGCCGTCAACGGTTGGTACGTGAATTGTAGTACCACAAAGTGCATCCCTCAGCAACACTTTGGCTTTGTATCTAATGTCACTCCCTTCCCGAACAAACTGAGCGTGGGGTTTGTCTTTCAACACAAAAACAATGTCTGCAGGTATATTATGAGGTTTCTGATCCCCCTCTTTTGGGAAGGTAATTTTTGTACCTGCCTTCCAACCAGGTTTAATATCCACAGTAAGAATTTTTTCCTCTAGTCTTGTGGATCGTCCATCTGGGTTGAGAACTTTCCGGGTGATTTTCATACGCTTTGTCGTGCCCCTGTAGATATCTTCAAGTGACACCTGTAGATCTTTGACAATGGCAGCGTCCTGTCTTCGTGGTTTGGGCATGCCCCCTGAACTGTATTGTTGAAAATGTCCCCCGGGTCCAAAAGATGCAAACTGCTGACCAAAGGGGTCGTCGTCGACGTCCATGTCGTCTGGGCCCCCTGGACCGAAGTGATGACCAAAGCCTGTCCCTCGCATACTTGGACCTCCGAAACCCGAACTAAAGAAACTTCCGAATGGGTTCTCATCTCCGAAAAACATTCGGAATGTTTCGTGTGGGTTGCCATGGAAGGAATAGTGGTAGGTGCCACCCTGTCCACTGCTCGTTCCGCCGCTGTTCATACCACCCTTCAGACCTTCTTCGCCATATTTGTCGTATATTTCTTTCTTCTTGGGATCACTAAGCACTTCATATGCCTCGGCAATCTCCTTAAACTTTTCCTCAGCTCCGGGAGACTTATTCTTGTCCGGGTGATATTTCAGGGCCATTTTACGATAACCCTTTTTGATGTCTTCATCACTCGCTCCTTTAACGACATTGAGTATTTTGTAATAGTCTTTTCCCATCTTGAGAGTTCACACTGGTATCCTAACAAACGCAACTTACACAGAAATCTGTGTTGGTAACTGACACACCTCTGCCAACTCGCTTCGCTCCGAACTTGTGACGATGGCGGTTCGCTGGTATAAATACAAGCTGAAGGGGTTTCCCGTCTTTTCTGGAACGTTCTGGAAATTTCACGTCATATCCGGGACGCTCTCGGCCAATCAGATTGACGATAAAATTTGGAATCTCCGAGAGAAATCGTGTCAGGTCTGACAGGTGCTTTAGAACGCCAGGCTTACCGTTGAGAAAGTACACTGTGTCATTGCCATGATAAAAACTAACAAGCGTATTTTCAAATTTTGAATTCAAACAACATCTTTGATAATGACATAGGACCAGGAGAATATTTGCACGTATTAATCACGTAATAGTAGATCTCTTCCAACAATATCGCTCAAAATAAGAATATATCAGGTATGTGTATTGGTGTACATGCCTTAATATATGTTTATCCATAATAGCCAAATATCGTCAAGTTTTTATAATGTCTTTATACATTTCACATATTTTGAGTCTCTGTTGAACTTGGCATTTTTATGACGTGTCTCAACTACTCTAAACTATAATTATCCTACATGCTGCGAGCAGGTCGTTAAATGCCCACATGGCATGCACTATAAATAAGAAAGTGATCATATTGTGACATTTTTTTTTCTACTTTCGCTTTTCGTTTGTTAATACGAAATACAGTAAAATACGTTTATTACGAACACGCTTATAACGAACTGACAGATATTACGAACTTCATTTTTGGTCCCCGACATTTGCTGTATAGATGTTGTAGTATGCTTATAACGAACGACGGTTATAACGACCTTAAATTAGTGGTTCATTTGAGTTCGTTATAACCGTAGTTTACTGTATATAGAAACGATCAATCTTAGGTCTCTTATCGGTAAGAAACAAACACCCATGAATCGTTTTATTGTGCTCACACTATAGCTTGTGTATGTGACTGCATGACTGGCGACAGAAGGTATGATATATGTCTGATATGACTTTGGGCTTGTAACACCGCCAAATTCGTTTACATTTGGATATCTGGTAACCCCTCAGTCTGTCTAAGTGCGTCTCCTGCATTGTACCTCGCATGTCATACAAAGTCAAACAACTTATGTTTCATATGGTGACTATGATTTTCAATCGCTCACCATATTGGACAATAGCCACGACCTAAATCACGACAAGCGAAATGAAGCGCACTTGTAAAGTGGGTGTGGATGGTTTCGTGTTTATATTTTTATTCACTACTTCGAAATCTTGACTTGAGATGAGTCAAACTTTAACTTCTTAACTTTAATGTGTGGTGGGTGTAACATTTTATATTCTTTTCTACATAAAGGAATACATGAAACATTAATATCAATAATAGTATTTATAATAATAATAATAATGTGCATATTTATGATGCGCCAAACTCAAGCACTCGATTCCCATTCTCAGCTCCCTATGGAGTATACAACCAAAGCTGCCTCTTAGGCGCTAGGCTACCAGCCACATTACCATCTCACCCTACCGGGTACCCATTTACTGCTGGGTGAACAGAGGCACATTCCGCACAAAGTCACTTGTCTAAGGAGACACCGCATGTGCTTCAGTATGCAAATGCTGTATGCGGATGTACGTGACATATTATTGTATTATGATCATTACTAGCATCCTGTATACATCTTCACACAGCGAGTACCGTGAAGATCCGGGTTATGCTAGGGCATCAGCAACCCATGCTTGCCGTAAGAGGCAACTATGCTTGTCGTAAGAAGCGACTAACGGGATCGGGTGGTCAGGCACGCTGACTTGGTTGATGCATGTCATCGATCCCAATTATGTGGATCGATGCTCATGATATCAATCACTGTATTGGCTGGTCGCCGTCATACAGCTTGACTATTGCTGAGTGCAGCGTTTAACAAACAAAACAAACAACATGCAGCGAGACCGAAGATAATGACACATGTACACATCACATGTCTGTGATGATGAAGACTGAGTCAGGAGCCAGTAAGGATGGGGGGTAATGTGAATATGCTTTCAAGTTAAAATACACATGTAAGGATACGGCGGGGAAAACACATCACGCACACGTCTATATATACATTCACTGGCTCAAAGGCATCCAGGAGGTTTGTGTGGTGAAAGCGATGGGTGTCGTGCATGACGTCAATGACCGGGTTCGATTCTCGATTCACCACATGGGTCAAATGTGTGACCACCAGTATGTCTCCGGGGTGTGTATTCTAACAGAGGACAATGGTCACACAACATACTAACTTCACGTATACTTCAAGTAAGTCAGCGACCATATATACTAGTATATATACATATTATTAGCTGAATATATCCTATTATATTTTACATTGTCATTTAAAAAATATCTTTGCAGATATCTGTCATTTTTGTGTTGTGTCATATATACACACAGAGAGAGGGGGAGAGGTGGGAGACGCACGATCTTATATGGTTAAACTCAGTTTGACTAAACATTCAATTACATTTAACACAATAAATATATTGGTGACGAAAATAGAGAAACCAATGACAATGTACGTATAGAAAGACCTGATTTATTAAAGTTGATGAAGATAAAGCTGACAACGACGAGGGCAATTCTATGCATATACCTTGCACGTGATTATAACCGAATGAACACATTTGTGGACCACACGTCGAGTGTCAAGTTTGAAAGTTTGAATAGAACTCGTCTACAAATGTCTGGCTTCCCAGATAACAGGAGGCCGCAGATACGAGTTGGCCCACCTCTGACTCTCACGTGCCTCGCTTCCTTCTCTCCATCTTTCATCTCCATATCACGATGCATCATGACTGACAGCGGAGTAGTCGTTACATCTTCCTCATTCAAACGCAACTCTACGCTTCCAAATTCAAATTTCAAATTAGTACGGTGATGCTCCAGAGGGTGGGGGAATTGGCTGGGGCAACCAGAGGGTGAGGGAATTGGCTGGGGCAACCAGAGGGTGAGGGAATTGGCTGGGGCAACCAGAGGGTGAGGGAATTGGCTGGGGCAATTCCTCACAAGATGTGTGCACGTACTCAACACACACACACACGCACGCACGCACGCACGCACACACACACACACATACACACACATACATATATACATATATATATATAGAAAGATCCATATTCGAAGGCAAAAGAAACTGATAATATCCTTTTATATTTTACATTGGCATTTCATAAGGACATAATTAAAAGAAAACAATCAAGATATTAAGTGTACGTTGGATATATATATATATATTGTCACTGTTACACTGCCCAAAATACTACTGCGTCGCTTAGGACTACAATGTAAGTTAACGGTCTCCTTACACCTGAAGAGCCGTTGAACGGCGAAAGATCTTATGTGGATAAAGGATTTTTAACAAGCACGAATATCCGGACTCTGTTAAAGTGTGTGTTTTTTTTATATTTAATACTTATACACCTGAAATCACTTGTTTTATATACATAGTTTTGAACAACCAGAAGACACGTATACTTATTCTTATGGGGGCACGGGTGGCCCAGTCGTCTGAGGCGCCGCAATTCGCTGTGTAGTGTTGCGTCCCTTGGGCACGCCAGAATCCTATGATTAATGGTTCGAGTCCCGGTTCGCCCCGATTATGTTTCTAGGTTTGTCAGCACCATACCCGTGCTCGAGGGTTTCATCAAAGTGGTAAACGTCTTAGACCTGTATTACTTCGGGCTTTCCTCCCACATCACGCTGACATGCCGTGATATAACTGGAATACTGTTAAAAGCGGCGTTAAACATCACTCACTCACTCATATTCTTACGATGACGATGATGATGAACACGCTGCAGGATCTTTCCTTATCAAGAGAACTACTTAAAAATAATCCCTATCCACTTTAGATATACCACATTTATTCCTTGCGACAGCTGCATGGTATAAATATCATGTCAGGTTGATAGAGTCTGGTAATCTCCAAATCTATACTCAGTGGAACTATTTAGAGGCCCCCGATGTAATAGGGAACATAAAAACTCATTTTCAAAATTAATGAAGACATATTGGGTCAAAATGAGTGTATTGTGTGTCAGTTCGAAATGCATTACAATTTAAAGGGATAGTCAGTAGGAAGAGAGTGATTGGAGCAGTTCTAGGAGGACCCCGTACATCATGTTCGCACAATCTGCTGTCAAACTTGGTGTGTTGTGGAGAGTCAGTATCTTGTGTAACCACCCGTTTCTGAACACATCGGTGCATTATCGTCCTGAAAAGACGGGAAACCTCCATAGCGACATGTAATCGCCAAAATCTCATCTCCACAGCGTTGTGCAGGTAAGATTCCAACAACAACAACGTATAACTGTCTTTGCAGCAGTTAAAAGGCAACTCAAGACCATTATACAATCACTACAGCGACGTCTGTAAACACGCCAATGGCCATCATGGAAGGATATTGAATTTGCTTTCTTGTAACCAAACTGACGACCACCGAAGTTGATACCAACGCTGATGACGTCGCGCACCACAGCAAATTATGCTGCCCATGACGAGGTGTCAGTGGTGGATGAATTGATAGTGGAGAACGTAGACTAGCAAGTAGAACGCAGCCTGCTTTGTATGGTGGTCATGCTCATGCGAACGTTTGTGGAATGAACGTGTTCATCTGACGTGATGTCAGAAACTTGTTGAGTAGGACCGCGATTCGCTGTGCAGAGTTGCGTCCCTTGGGCACTCCAGAAACCTATGATTGTGGGTTCAAATCCCGGTTCGCCCCGATTATGGTTCTACGTTTGTCAGCACCATACCCGTGGGTTTCACCAAAGTGGTAAACGTCTGAGACCTGCATCATTTCGGGCTTCCCTCCCACATTAAGCTGACAAGTCGTGATATACAGTAAACTACGGATATAAAGAACTCAAAGGGACCACTAATTTTAGTTCGTTATAACCGTAGTTCGTTATAAGCATATATATACAGCATAACTACAGCAAATAGTCGGGACAAAAAAGTAAGTTCGCTATATCCGTCAGTTCGTTATAAGCGTGTTCGTTATAAACGTAGTTTACTGTAACTGGAATAATGTAAAAAGCGGCGTTAAACCCAACTCACTCACTCACTCAGTCACTGTTGAGTAGGACAAAACAAGGTACCCATCCTGCCTGTGTTGCATATGACACAATGACGACCAAGGCCTCTTTCCACAAAGTGATCTCGGCACTAAGATGATCGTAACTTCCATACTTTATCATAAACTTACAGCAGTTGCAGTGTTAAGATCGCTTTGTGGCATCGGGTCCAGGGTTTTTTAACATATTCAACAGTTCCAGTCGTTTAGAAACCGCTCAAGTTAGTAATACGTAATTATTCTGAGTAAAATAAATTTACTGTAGCAGTCAAAAAGTCCAATTCACACCGAGACCGATTGACCATATTGTGTTCATTGAAAGAGGACACCATATAGATGGGGATGAGGTGCGATATCGACTGAGGAAGTATTTAACTCATATTTACATGTGGAGAGGGGATGTTTGGGAGACAAGGAATACTATTTTATCGTTTATACAAAAACTTTAGAATTCAGGTACTCAAGAGTGACGTCAACGCGAGAATATCCCCCCCCCCACACACACCCCCCCCCCCCCCCCCCACACCCCACGAGCACGGTATGATGCTGACAAACCTAGAACCATAATCGCATCGCGGCGGACCGGGATTCGAACCCACAATCATAGGTTTCTGGCGTCCCTAAGGGAAGCAACTCTGCACAGTGAATTGCGACGCCTTAGACCACCTTGAGCCACCTGTGCCCCCCAGTTTTCACTATTCAGAATCAACACCTTTCAAGCTCTGCTAGATTGGTTTAAAAAAAAATGTGTTACGTTTCTGTGACCATGAACACAAATCCTAATCCTGTGGCAATATTGGTGGGTGTTTAGCTGCTCAGTGTTATTTATCCTTGTACATTGTTTTCATTTACACAGTTGTAGAATGGGTACCAGGTAGTGAGAAGCTGAAGGATGCGTTCTGAAGATAATTAATTTCAACTTAATATTGTCATGCATAAAATGCAGGTGTGTGATCAAGGTCAATATAGAATGCATTCTTTCGGCCATCTCATCCTTGGGTGTAAGGGATACAACTTTACAATGCAAGTTATAAAGCCCTAAGCCAAAGGGCCATACATATGATCAGTTGTTTAGAAAATGACTCTACTCAAAAACATATGGTCTTAAAAAGACATAAGCTGGCATATGTCAACAATATGCAATTTAAAACACATTCATAATTGAGGAGTGAGTTGGGTTTAAGGCCGCTTTTAACAGTATTCCAGTTATAATATGGCGTGTAAGCTTAATGTGGGAGGAAAGCCTGAAGTGATGCAGGTCTCAGACGTTTACCACTTCGGTGAAACCCATGAGCACAGGTATGGTGCTGACAAACCTAGAAACATAATCGGGGCAAACCGGGATTCGAACCCACAATCATAGGTTTCTGGCATGCCCAAGGGACGCAACTCTGCACAGCGAATCGCGGCGCCCTTAGACGACTGGCCCGTGCTCCCTCATAATTGAGGAATAACAAAGAAAAACATTATATTATTTCAACATTTTAATCATTAAAAATACTGAATTTTACAGGTAGAAAATGTATAAGTACATTATACATTAGACATATTTACACATGACACTGATGAATGTACAGGATGAAATAGTGTATAATAACATGAAACCATGACAACATGCCGTTGATACGAATATGACACATTAAATATATGCCCTATAATATAATGTGTGAAACAATGTAAGGCCCAAAATAGTAATTGCTTGATTTTGGATAGCGAACCTTGCCTGGTACCTGGTACCTCACAAAACATAAAAATACATTAATGACATCCATGACTACCACGGCCTGACTTTTTACTCCTGAACCGATGTATATTTTCACAAATTTAAATTTTGGGCACAATTAGAATAAATATTTTCTGCAAGGTAGAGGAACAAAAGTTTTTGCTATTATTTTCCTTAAAATAAAATATTATTAAAAGCAGAAATATTTAAAAAGTATTTTCAAATTCAATTTCTAACTCAATTGTCAGAAAATTCAATTAAAAGAAACACTTAATTTGTTTTGAAATAATAATAAAGGATTTGATTCACAGTATCGTTATCTGAAAAACATTTCAGTTAAATAAATTTTAGTTTGGGTTACCTGATATTCTGTTGTTTATACAATTCAAAAACACATTCTGTAGACACTGAGAAGTAATGTCTTAATATCTATCTCAAACAGATTCAATTCACTTTTTTGAAATTAAATCACACTTAATATACAGTCATAAAATGTGAGCTAGAAATTGTAAAAAAAGCATTAAATATAAATAATCACAACCACAGATCATGCTGTGAAAAGACACATGCATCTGTCCATGCAAGATCAAAAGTTGTACACACAGATGTAGAAGATATTAGTACATACAGCATAAAAATACACTTTGTTCACTTCAGATTGCCGTAAAAACTCTCTGGACTTTTGCATAATTATTCAACTGTTCTGGCATCACAACATGAGAACATGAAATATTTCCTTCATATTGGTTTGACCATCACGCAAGAAATAAACGCAGCTGGTTTCAGATGGGTACACCACGTCCTGAATCATGCAACTTTCAAAGTGGAAATAAAACCATGACTTCGTGTATAACAAGCAAACACACAACCCTCATGGCCACCCTAGAGTTCATTGATCACCCAGCTTCCATGTAATACTCCAACCCCAGAGGAATTCTAAAAATATTTGTTCACCAAAAACTTGTACTTGTCCTATATACTTTGTTTATGGGAACTGTTGGATTTATTTTTTCCATGTATCCTTTTGGAAGGCATACTTAACACTAGGAGTGTGCAAGATAACCGTTATACTGGTATATTGCACTATGGACGTCAACTATACATATATCGCAATACGACTCATGTGTATCGATATGTTCAATAGTCGCAGCAGAATTAACGTATACTAATATAAATTACATCTCCTATCTTGATGCATTTGGATTATGTTTACTATCTAATCACAAGCTTAGACATCACATGTTGATGATGTAATAGGTAGTCTCATTTATTTAAGAAATAAATGACTTGTGGTCGTTGTTTATCATACGATAAAACACTGCGGGGAGAATACACCATGAGGGACGCAGACCCAAGTGGTTTGTTCTCCCTGACATGTTATAGTGTACAATAACCAACGACCACAAGTCGTTTACTTCTTATATGAGATATCAACATTATGTACACAGCCTCTTTAAGGATGTTGATAAAATGTATAAACTTTAAAATCAGTTACCTTAATTTTAATAATGATGACTCCCTGAATACAATCCGACCTCGGCAATGTAGGACAAGTCCGTATTATGAACAGGTGGGTTAAGTTTGGTATTTACAGCCCCACTACGTATTGTGATATGTATTGCAATACAGCTCCCCACAATGCAACATACGCCAACTCTGCTTAACACGACATCCAACATGACACACAAGGGCCAATCCAGCATTGGAAATAATTTGAATAAGGGAATCTACATCACTGATGGATCACCTGCCCATAAATACTACTTTCCTGCAGCATTATCTAGAGAATTGAACACACTAATTGTTTCACAGTGACAAGCAAGACTGATCATTCCCAGTCAAATGAACTGCACAGAAATTGACGTGTATCATGGCGTCTGACAATCATAAAATGATGTCATAAATCTTATAACTGTTGCATGTTATTTCATACTGTTGTGTTAGATCCTAGATGGTTTAGTAATGATACGTCTATGCTAGAAAATCATATCAATACTCCAGCTGAAAATGAGTTGTTAGGATAATAGCACTATAAACATAGTAACACATAAATATGACTCAGTGAGAAACAAATAATATACAACCAAGATAAAGCACAATTGAGCACCTTTTCCTAATATTCTCTATTTCAGAATATTGTTTGATGTACTGTTCAACACATTTAGCGGCTACATTAATAACAGTCACCTGTATTGTTATATTCCAAATCTAAAAATTCAATTTAATGACATTTTCAATCTTAAAACGGGGAATGAAAAGGCTTTTTTTCTTAAATAGTATCAGGAATGGACTGGTAACCCTGGTAACCACAGGACTAACCAGACCTGTATTTAGTCACATGATAAACTGTTTAATGACAATAACAATGAAACTCAATTGTTACCCTACAACTGAATAATGTTAACATTTCTATCGGACTATGCACACATTCCTTCTGACTTTAATATGTTTGTGTAAAAAGTAAAACTTAAGTGAAATTCAGTGTATGCATGAGCTGATTGTTTTATTTGTGTTCTGAATAAATATTGACAGAGCTCTTGTAAAAGAATTCCCAAATTGACATTTTGAACCAAATCTTGAGATCTACAGCAGGTAACCGGGTAGGGTTGGGTAATAGGGGGTCGGGTACTTGGGTAAGTTCGGGCAAAAGTGGGTTGGGTTCCCGGGCTGTATATGTGGACTTTCTGTCAAAATGTCTTCAGATACTCGTATAAAATGATCTGGTCATGCAAACACTGAAGTTGACTTAAGTTTCATATCTATTCAAATATATATAGTTAGAAAGAAATGCGAACAATTTTTACCATTAAACAAAATATCACGTGACTAACCACGGATCCGGGTAGTCCTTTGGGTATCCGATCCTACTCAGGAACCACCCGACACGAGTACCCGAGTTACCTGTCCCAGCCCTAACAGGGACATTACATAATGTAACACAGACTTGATGGCCTTATCACAGGCTCATGCAGTGTGTTACTATTGCTTTCAACATGTTGGAGAACCAGTAGCAAATGAAATCTAGACTTTTATCTACAAAATGAGATGAAATGTTTATTCATATACGTATTGCGATGAATTACACTGATTGACATGTACTTGTTTCCGTGATATTACAATCTGTGTATTATGAAACAATATTATCCACAAACATGGTAGTACTTCTCAAATATAACACACATGTAAAGACAAGAGTGGATATGATCTTCAGGACTCAGATGAAAATTGCTGCCATTTTCAAGTTTTGATAAGGTTTGATGCATACAGCCATTGAACACAGCATGATACGTCTTTGAATGAGCAGATGGCAAAAATGGAATTATCGGCCGTCTCATCAATATTAATACTGGAACATTGATGAATTTCAGAAAATCTGACTTCATTGTTTTAAATTACTACACAAAATAGTCAGTGTATAACAGCATATATAGGATAGACTAACCATATTGACCAGTAAGTTACAAGCAGAAAGTGACCAGGGATTTATCTGGGATTTCAAACTATGTGCCTTTGGCAGCCAAATTGTAAAAATAATTTTGATATTGTTTAAAAAAGTATTTCATATTCTGATTGTTATTTTTGTAAATTCTGAGGAATTAGGATCTTTTTTATTCAAATAGGTAATCCTTGTTGTAATTTGCTGTAGATGTGTGGGCCAAATTTCAGCCTCTGAGCAGGTCTAGATAAATCCCTGTTGACCAACTTTAGAAACAGTTCATACAATCCAAAGTCTGTTTTCTTTCCTATTCTAATATTTGGTCTCCTATGTTGGCAAGACTTTAGCTACCAACATATGTTCCTATTTTGACTTGACTGGATCCGATGGACACGTACAGTGAACTATTCCCTATTCATCCTTCACAATACCCTGTCAGACAGCCCTTTGGTTGCATGGTGAACTCTGTCTGTAGTATTCTTCTTTGAACCATGAGTCAGATTAAATCAACAAGGTTTGTACAAATAATAAATATCGCCAAACATTTTGACAAACAGCAAACAAATAAGAGAGAGAAAATATGCACTATATCAACAAAGTATGCACTATATATCGTTTCCCCAAGTATAAAAGAAAATCTCATCACTCTCACATGATCGTCCAATGATTTTGCAGGATTTCCTCAGTTCCAGGGAGGTTACTCACACAACCAATATACACACCTATAAAACACATCACAATGGAGGATGGAATGTATTGAGATTGTATGAGCTATGAATTAAATCAGCAGGAATTCAAATCCTTCTCAGTCATGAATGTACCAACATCCTTTCATCACTGTATTGAACTAAGCAAATTGCCACAAGCACATATGCAAGTCTTATGCTTGTTTATTTGTTGTCCTTGGAGCAAATGATACATTGTCTGTCCTTGTTACCCATGACTTATTCATCAGTTTCTGTAAACCATGGCACAAAATTCTTCCCTGTTATTTCATCACTGTAAATGAAGATCTTGCCATTCTGAGGTTTGTGTTTCACTCCCCTCTTCAAAATGCACATCATCCATTATTCAAAACATCACTGTTAGGTTTGTTCCACACATATAAACAGCCTGGGGCCAAATCCACAAGCACTGAAAGGTCAATGATGCCAAACATCAAGGCTTTGGCTGTCCAGACAGACAATGACAGTCATGTTCCAGTGGACATATATCGTCATGTCTACATCAAGGCTACCTCGGTTCCGACAATGTGGATGTGCCATGAGTGTTCGGAGAGTGGGATTGGTATGATACGAGAGGTCGTTGTTCCCAATGTCGTCATACAATGTTGACCTTCTGAAGTCTCTCCACCAATAGGGCTACCGACGTGTTGTTCTTCATAACCGAAACAGCCTCTTTGTGATCAACATTGCGGAAATCCATGCCATTCACCTACAGAATAAAATAGAAAAAATCATACATACAAAATGCATTGCTTGACTGTACTGAAGGATCTCAAGACCTTGCTATGTGATATGTACTGTATTCAACGTAATAAGCGCCCTGCTCTAATAAGCGCCCACAGCGATATTTGCTAATATATTGGTTATTGAACAATCCCAATTAGCACCCTTCAGATTGATCAATGTACAAGACTTATTTATTCTTGTATAATATGTGTGTTATATGCATCCTTAATTATGGGAAATTAAATTCTAGAAAAATATATCTGTCGTATATAAACATTTCAGGCTGTCAGCATAAACCATGAAATGTAACTTTCAACTTTTTTTTCATTAAAATGATATTCTAATAAGAGCCCCCTATTTCTAATTTTGAGAGCGCCCTGGACGCTTATTATGTCAAATACGGTATGTGTTTATTCCTGATGATGATCTGCTGTCCTAAAATGTTACAAATGTAATTTTATATGACTACATCAATGGGACTGAACATTCAATATCCTGGAGATGTCTACGTCACCAAATATAACTGAAAGTGAGTGAGTGAGTATGGTTTTACGCCGCTTTTAGCAATATTCCAGCAATATCACGGCGGGGGGACACCAGAAATGGGCTTCACACATTGTACCCATGTCGGGAATCGAACCCTGGTCTTCGGCGTGACGAGGAAACGCTTTAACCACTAGGCTACCCGACCGCCCCTATAACTGAAAGGATGAACACAACCTTTTGGACAGCACACTTTTTTTTCAGGTCATCCAGCTTGTCAAGAAATCAATGCATAAAACATTATTTTAAACATTTCATCTCTCATCTCTAAGATATCAATGGTCAGTCCTGACTCATAAATAAACCTATAAAATAGATAAAAATTAAGGGGAGTAACTCCTTCATTTGTCCTATAATAAAAAAATGTATGCAAAAGCTTAATTTCATTACATTATCTTTTACTCCAATAAACCAGTGCCCTCTGAACATCATGAATACAATTTTATTTTGACCACTGCTCATTTGGATTGAAATAGAGTGAGTGAGTGGGTTGGGTTTAACGCTGCCTTTTACAGTATTCAGTTATATCATGGTGAGTCAGCTTAATGTGGGAGGAAAGCCTGAAGTGATGCAGGTCTCACATGTTTACCACTTCGGTGAAACCCAGGAGCACAGGTATGGTGCTGACAAACCTAGAAACATAATCGGGGCAAGCCGGAATTTGAACCCACAATCATAGGTTTCTGGTGTGCCCAAGCGACGCAACTCTGCACAGTGGATAGCGGTGCCTTAGACGACTGGTCAACCCGTGCCCCCGATTGAAATATATGACATAGCATAAACTGCAATATATGCATATCAGTCTTTGTTACAATTCTTCTCTGGAACACGTATTGAGTGTAATACCTCCATGATCTTGTCTCCTGGACGAAGGGTTTTGGCTGCAGGGCCTTCAGGCTGGATCTTGGTGATGAAGATGCCCTGGATAGTGACAAAAGGAGTATGAACTATGGTCAGGCAATTTGGCTTTAAAAAATTGGTAAAGAATTAAATAATGAATAGTGAAAAAAAGAAGAAGCAAAATTGATCATTCATTTCCCATTCGGGATTCGAACCCACACTTTCAGAGTAAGGCATCAAATTGCCAGCACACAAAGTCAGCCATCTAACCCACTCAGCCACCAAGGCTTCCACAAAATGAAAGTCTGACAACTAGTGGCCTAGATCAGTAATTTGTGTAACTCTCTGATAAGTGTAAATTGGCATGGCCGAAAAATATGAATACACAATCCTATTTAGAAAGTGGTCAAATGTAACAAATGTATTTTGTGGGGTGGTTAGTAAAACCAGGTCCTTACCTTATCATTGGGTCTGTAGGGGTTACCGTGAGACCCAAGACCTCCCGCTACACTGAAGCCCAGACCTGGGTTTTTGGTGATTTTAACCCGAAACTGGAAATAGAACAATAGGTTTGAAAACTCACATTAATCTCAGATTACTTATATTACAATACCACACAGAATCACAAGTTTTTTCTTGCACCCAAAACTATGTTAAATACCTGTGTTAGTGCAAGGTGGCAATTGTGGCTATTGTACATGTATAACTAAAATCTATTTCACTTAAATCAAACACTTATTCAACCCATTACTTGAGTATTGGTTTCAATATCTCATGTATAAAATATATACCAAGGTGAATGAATTTAAATGTTCATTTTTTCAAACAGGTTTCTTTGTTGTTTAACGCCACACTCAAGTCTGGACCAGACAATCCAGTGACTGCCATCATGAGCATCGATCCACGCAATTGGGATACAATGACATGCATTTACCAAGTCAGCGAGCCTGACCACCTGATCCTGTTAGTCGCCTCTTGTGACGAGCAGTCACCTTTTACTGCAAGCATTTTCAAACAGGTAAAATTTAACATCATGTATACTAAATTTAAATAAATATCCCACTCTCTGTATATTTTGTATCTGCTTATTTCAGAATGATTGAATATTCCATGGCACCTTATAAGTTTTCTTTCAATTTTTTAATTTCTTGTGTAATTCCTGAAAATTAAGATTCGGAATGTTTTGCAACACATTCCTGTTATCTATTCTTGAGCAGATCAAAAGATGTTAAATATATTTCAACGTACTGTCTCTCTAATTTCCTGGTATGAGTTATCGACAGAGTTGTCTGCCTTTGGATACCCTGAGTCATCTCTGACAGGAGTTCCCTCCCTTGACTGCCCTGACATGTAAGCATCTCGTGATGCCGAGCTGCCTTGTCGGATCAGTGAGTGATGCACCTGTGGAGAGGGAGGAGGCTGGGATCCACTACGACCTGAAACAAACAACAGTCAACCATAAGCTACAAAATATCTAAACAGAACCAGATGTCCTTTGAAAAAATTTGATGTAATTCAAAATACAGTCTTCTTTCATCAAGCAGGAATTGAATCAAGACTAAAAGAATCATGAATATTTACCTGGAATATCATACAAATACTCATAAAAATGTCTGACACTTGAACAAAATTAAAGAAAGTAAGCCGTTATAAACAAATAATAAACCAATAGTTGAGGTGAAATAGGGTGAATGTCATGTCCAAAATTATTGCACTTATATAGCGATGTGTGTGTGTGTGTGTGTGCGTGCATGTACTTGTCCAGACTCATGCCGATTTTATAGTGCTAGTCCAACAAGATACCATGTCGCAGTTTAACATGAATAACCCACTCAGACACAGAATACTGATTCTGAGCCGACCAGTCCTTGTTTTAGCCCTTTAATGCTGAGCACCAGGCATGGTAAGAAGTACCATTTATTAACGTCTTTTGGATTGACACAGCCGGGGATCGAACCCCTGACCTCCCGCTCTCCGGGTGGATGCTCTACCACTTGACCACGGAGACTTTCTGATAAACCAATAAGTCACATAGACATCTATGATATTTTGAATGTACTACAACTTGTTGTATATCCAATATAATTCTGCAAAATCCACCATCTTTGTAATTGGACATGTGAAATCACCATGTAAAGTTATGCCATTATTTAATTATCAGGGTCTACATGATTCTTTCACCCAAACAACAAAATAAAACACTGCCTAGAACAGACTGGCTTTGCATTAGAGCCCCATATCTCAAGAGAAGCCATAGCCAGACATGTATTCTGTCTATAGAAGAGTATCTGTATATAATTAACAGGATTTTCCAGTTGAGCTGCATCTAGTCAAAGTGAGTTGGATGCATATCTTTATCTTCAACTACATGTATCAATCATTGAAACTCATTAGAAAAAATAGCTAAACTTGATGATGAACCTTTTCATGCTCTAATGCAAAACAGGTAAATCTTCAACAAGAAGCCACCAGTCCATTTCTCATTTCAAACTGGTGGTCTGCCTTTTTGAAAATAAAAAAAGCCAGTGTAACAATTAACAGAGCCAACAACTTCCAGCTATGTTACAGTCACCTGTAATTATAATACTCTAGCCAGGTACAGGGAGACCAGTGGTCGATAGCAGGAACGTAGTGTATAAACAGAGCCTGTGACGTATTGAGGTGAGGTGAAATTGGGTTTAACGTCGCGTCCAAGATTATTGCACTTATATAGCGACGTGCATGCACGTGTATGTGTGTGTGTGGCTGCTTGTACTAGTCCGGACTGATGCCGATTTATAGTGCTAGCTCACTGAGATACCATGCCGCAGTTTAACATGAATACCCCACTCAGACACAGTATACTGACTCCGAGCCGACCAGTCCTTGTTTTAGCCCCTTAATGCCGAGCGCCAGACAGGGTAACAACAAGTACAATCTTTTAACGTCTTTTTGTATGACGCGGCCCGGGATCGAACCCTGGACCTTCCGCTCTCCGGGCGGACGCTCTACCACAAGACCACGGAGGCGGTCCTGTGACGTATTGACGATGGTAGTACTGGTAAGCAATCCAAACAGGGGACTAGATACAACATACAGTATATGAAAACCATTAATGCTTCAGGGTCAAAAAGTTACCAGAAGGAAAGAATACTTATATTGGAAAATATTCAACTGTTAGTAAGATACTGCTGTGGAAATAATATCCTTGGAAATTTTATCCACTGGAAATCTTTAGCTAGGATATGACTTTCTCCTGGAAAGAATCTCCTGGGGGAATAAACATCCTATTACATATATACACACACACTCCTTTCACGCCATACAGCCTCAGGTCAGCCTGACTAACCTGAGTGTCGTGAGAAGTCGCCCACTCTGTCGTAGATCGGATGACTGTGACCGTATCCGCTATCTGTTGAGCTTGACACCTGCGATGATGGATCTGATGTCTTGAATTTCTCCACATCCTCATACTTTGTCATCATCGGCACTAACGATTCATCCGGTTCACAATCAGGATACGTGTACGAATCATACATCCTTTGAGAATCAGAATGTTCAAACGTCCTTGACCTTGGCCGTTCCCTATATGGGTCACTATGTCTGCGCACAGGATGTGACCGGTCACTTTGAAAAGACACATTGCCAACATCAATAGTCAATTGCTTATCTAGTTTGTCAGTTTTCTCTGCACGCGATCCAGGCCGATCTCGAAAGAAAACATCCTCTTGAGAAGTCCCTTTCAGATCATAACGATCACTAAGATAGCTTGCTGTCTTTCTTTTATCTCCTTCGGACTGATTATCATGATACACGTTCCGTGTCACTTTGGGAGTTCTATTTCCCTCACTGCTCTGTGTTCTGTCTAACGTCCACGTCTCGTAGTCTTTGTGTCTGCTGATGTTGTCGGGCATCTGCCTTATCGGGTCAGACAGACGCGATGGACAGTCTCTGGGAGAGTCCAACTTGGGCCTCGGAGAATCCAACCCTGGCCTGGGAGACTCTGTGTAGGACCTGTCCCCTGATGAAGTAGAGGACGTCCTCTCTGGAGTGCGTCGGTATGGTGGGGGAGGTTTGAAGGACGGGGGTTTCATCATCTGGAGCTCACTTGAAGGACGTTGTTGAGGCTGGAAAAGGGTCATAAGACGTATGATGATATGATGAACATGGAAATCATACATCTTAAGATAATAAGATGAACCTAGAATTCAGATGCCTAAAGACAATAAGATGAACATAGAATTCAAATGCCTTAAGATAATAAGTTGAACATAGAATTCATATGCCTTAAGATAATAAGTTGAACATAGAATTCATATGCCTTAAGATAATAAGTTGAACATAGAATTCATATGCCTTAAGATAATAAGTTGAACATAGAATTCAGATGCCTTAAGATAATAAGTTGAACATAGAATTCATATGCCTAAAGACAATAAGTTGAACATAGAATTCCGATGCCTTAAGATAATAAGATGAACATAGAATTCATATGCCTTAAGATAATAAGTTGAACATAGAATTCATATGCCTTAAAATAATAAGTTGAACATAGAATTCATATGCCTAAAGACAATAAGTTGAACATAGAATTCATATGCCTTAAGATAATAAGTTGAACATAGAATTCATATGCCTTAAGATAATAAGTTGAACATAGAATTCATATGCCTTAAGACAATAAGTTGAACATAGAATTCATATGCCTTAAGATAATAAGTTGAACATAGAATTCATATGCCTTAAGATAATAAGTTGAACATAGAATTTAGATGCCTTAAGATAATAAGTTGAACATAGAATTCAGATGCCTTAAGACAATAAGTTGAACATAGAATTTAGATGCCTTAAGATAATAAGTTGAACATAGAATTTAGATGCCTTAAGATAATAAGTTGAACATAGAATTCAGATGCCTTAAGATAATAAGTTGAACATAGAATTTAGATGCCTTAAGATAATAAGTTGAACATAGAATTTAGATGCCTTAAGATAATAAGTTGAACATAGAATTCAGATGCCTTAAGATAATAGGATGAACATAGAATTCAGATGCCTTAAGATAATAAGTTGAACATAGAATTTAGATGCCTTAAGATAATAAGTTGAACATAGAATTTAGATGCCTTAAGATAATAAGTTGAACATAGAATTCAGATGCCTTAAGACAATAAGTTGAACATAGAATTTAGATGCCTTAAGATAATAAGTTGAACATAGAATTTAGATGCCTTAAGATAATAAGTTGAACATAGAATTTAGATGCCTTAAGATAATAAGTTGAACATAGAATTCAGATGCCTTAAGATAATAAGTTGAACAAAGAAATCAAGAGAGTTCAGATAATAGGTAGGACATAGAATTAGCTCAACTATTTGCTTTGCACTTTTCTTGACATATTGTTTCATGTAACTGATACTGTATATAGGTCTGCCATGACATTAGAAACACATAAATACAGTATTCATCTGGTAGAAGCTTGCCCTGTGACATGGGAGATATTCATAGTTGAACATTTGTACAATTTGATGCAACAGTAGTCTGCACTGAATCAAGACCAAATCAAAATGACTTTAGAAATACTGGTATGATTTATGAACAAAACCATGTTATTAATTGATTTTACATTTTAAGTTTCAAACTCAATAAAACATGAATCTTTCAAACTCCTTGCACTTACCATTGACTTGCTGACATCTCCATTTTGTCTCTGGATCCGCTCTTCCAGCACTGTGTAGAGTTCTCGCTGGAAGTCCTTGCCCTGACTGGTGTCAGAAGCAGACGTCGTCATGCTGCCATCTTGAACAGTTGGTGGGAAGCTCTCTGGCGGCTCAAGAGCAACCGGTGTGCTTTGATCCACAAACTTATTTCTCTGGAACAGACTAGGGGACGGTGTGGGCAGAGGTTTCAGGGGAGACAGAGTGGTGTTTTTCACACTCTCCTGACTTGATGTCTGGTTGAACAGTTCATCATTTTTCATCATGATCCTCCGAGAATGAGGCACAGTAGCACTATCTGAGTTTGTCTTGCTCACCTGATTATGCAAATCATACGGAAGACTGTGCGCGGGATGCTGGTATGACAGAGTTGCTGACTTCTGACTCCAATCCCTGCCTCTCCCTGAATACGCCTCGAGATCACTTGCATAACCCCCTTCCCTCCGCGGTCGAGGTCGCTGTTGATGATGATGATGATGATGATGTTGATGACGATGATTGTGAGATAGTGTGGATGAGCTGACGGAGGGTGGACCACTCCCCCTCCCATCACTGAGAACCTGTTTACGAAACTTCAACAACTCGTGATCACTACGGTAACCAGTGTCCGAGTCATAGTCCCGCATGCGGTGGGATTGTTTCCCACGAGAACCATGATGGCGGTGGCCATGGCTGCTTTGGCTCTGCATCACATATGGAGTGTCCGTTCCATAAATACCAAAATGGGATTTCGACTTGGGCATGTCTGGCTTGTAACGGCCATCAGCCACATCAGCAGGAATATTGGGTGACGATCCGGAACCTCGTACAAGCTGAGGTCTGCTCTGTGAGAAGCCTCCATTGTCATCTGTCAGAACATGGAAGCAACATCTAGTAGTGAAGATCTATCTGATTAATTGATCTACTGAATTGTGGGTCCCTATTTAAAACAGTGTGTGCGAAACTCTAAAATTATTGCTGGCCACGTGGGCTAGCTGCTAAAAAGTTACTAGCCAGTTGCAAATATTTCAAATATGCAAATGTCTATTTTTCAGGAAATTTGATTCTGCTGAGGTATCAAGAAAGTAAACCAAAACTTCAAATCAGAGTCAGATATTATATTATTATATTTTAATCAAGTGACAAGATAGTAGTATCATAGTTCATTTGTCAGAATTTGAGGTGAAAATGTTCATCGTCCCCGCCATGTTTGACATGGGTAGTCAAAGTTTCAGTGATTGGTTGTAATTTGTAGTTCAACCAATCAAAACATATTTGTTTTACACAGTGTCACATTCGTTCAAAGAAGATGAAGGGTGTAACTCTGATTTCACAACCTTGATTCGTTATGGATATTAATTTCATTTTGATAGTCATGTTGATCAATAGAAATGAGAGACCTTTTTTAATTTTGATCAGCTCGAGGTGATCAGAAAAAATCACCGTTAAAATTTCTGTATCCAGTTGGGCTTGGGACATTTCAGAACCTTTACCTTGACTGAAACTTTGCTAGCCATACGAAGGCAGGTATCTACATGTAAGGTAGATCACTCCAGGTATCCTGTTATAGGTATTGTAACTGAAATACCGCCACCTTGCAGGCTATTTATAGTTAGGGTGGGGTTTTAAGGGTATGCATGACACCATAGACCACTGGCAGGCCTAGGTGATGGTTACCTCGTTTGTCCTTCTTCTGAGGTTTTGGCGTCAGTAGTGACATGGTCTCTTCCTCCACTTCCTGCGACTGCCGATGTTGCTGCATGCGAGCTTTATCCTTCTGCTGCTTCTCCTGGGAGAAAGATGGGGAGTGTTATTCAGGTGCCCTGTCTTCATTTAGGTTTTACAGAATGTGGGAGGCTAGCCTGCATATTGCAAGGACAATACTGATAACTGACACTTTATTCCATGACTCCATACAATCTTAGCATGAGTTGAGTTTTGTTTTATGTTGCTTTTAGCACTATGATGATGGGACACCACAAATAGGCTTCACAAAGTGTACCCATGTAGGGAGCCATATACGGTGTGACGAGTTAACACTTTAACCAGAAGCCCCACCATGAAGTGCTGCAGTAATTTGGTGAAAAGATGGAAAAATTGCAAAAAACACAAAAACATAAGAGCCTGGTGCTAAAACACACCAACATGACATGCATGTGCAACATTACTTGGGTTGGGTATTCATTTGCATGCCATTACAATCTTACAGCAAGTGAATAGGGAAAACATGCCACGACTGACAGAAGCAGTATGCAAGAACGTCATTGGCCAACTGCAAACAGGAGAATCATCATCAGCTGAAGGGGGCACGGGTGGCCCAGTCGTCTAAGGCACCGCGATTCGCTGTGCAGAGTTGCGTCCCTTGGGCACGCCAGAAACCTATAATTGTGGGTTCGAAACCCAGTTCGCCCCGATTATGTTTCTAGGTTTGTCAGCACCATACCCGTGCTCGTGGGTTTCACCGAAGAGGTAAACGTCTCAGACCTGCATCACTTCGGGCTTTCCTCCCACATTAAGCTTACACGCCGTGATATAACTGGAATACTGTTAAAAATGGACAGATTTGGCGGTGGTCGTGTAATGATGTGGGCTGCCATCTCCTACACTTGTAGATCAGACTTAGTGCAAGTTCTGGGGAATTTAATGGCACAATGTTACATGGATGAGCCTCTTCGGCCATCCCATTATGGAACAAGCGAACGTCATTTTCCAACAAGACAACGCCTGACCTCCCACGCCAAGATTGACAACGGCCTTTTTCAGGAATCACAACATCCAGGTCCTGCCATGGCCCTCCAGGTCTCCAGATTAAAACCCAATTGAACATTCATTAGATGCACTGGATCAACAACTGTGAGCACATAGGCAACAACCACAGAACCTCCAACTGCTGGAATAAGCACTGCAGGCAGAGTGGGTGAACATTCCCCAGGCTACTGATTGCTTACATGGGATGACGATGCCAGTCAGTTTTGGGCTGTAACGGTGGATTACACAAGATATTGAGAACAGATGATCTTCACCTTTAATATATACTGTTCAATGTGTGCCACATGGAACCTGGGTCAATGACCATGACGTGTGCCAATTTTGAACAATCTATTACCATCTGTTCATTATATATATGATATATAAAATATACATCTAAAAATCACTTTTGCATTTCTTTTTTTGCAGAGTATATATACAGGAATTTCACTGAATCATAACAATAAACTCTTTCAAATTCTTAGTCAATTTTGATTCATGGACATATAAATAAGCACTGTGACCTACCTGAATCCTAGAGAAATTATTCATTTAAACATAAATGAATGCATTTATTTTCGTATGCGAAATTCTGTGTACAATGAATCTCAACATGATCAATGCAAAGATTTATGAGTACTGAGAGTCCACTTGTGGACACAAACTAGATCTAATCACACAAAACTCTTTCACCAAAAATATGTTAGTATCTTATGACCATGTAATGATATATTTGATACATGTGTCAATAGTGTGTGTACTGGATTTTACAATCATATGTCAGTGTACGCTACACCACTCAGTCAGTGAATGTACAAGATCATTTTCAGTTTAAAAATCCTTTATCCTCCCATTGACACATGTAACCCATAGACCCCGAAACATCATTGTTTACAATAGGTTGTTAATATTTCCATGGTTACCCAAAATCAATTGAGCATTTCTCCCAAACATGAATGATTTGATGGCATCTTTCTGATGAAGAACTACCTTATCATATCGATAGAGGCGATGGGTTTCCTTAAGTACAGGAGAGGAGGGTTTGGTGATGTGAGCCTCTCTCATCCTCACCCCACTGTCCTCGGGGTGGTTCCCGGCCCCGCCCTGCACACACACAGAAGTCACAGGGGTTAGAGAGACACCACACAACACACGTTACATCTAAATCAGCTACACCAAAAAGCTTTTATTATCATATTAGATTAATAAAAATAGATAACCTTGAAAACATGATGCTCTGCATATATTACCAACATTTTAATGAAATTATGATCTGATACAATGTCAAAAATATCTTGATGAGACAAGACATGAATATTTCAAGTAGATTATTAGGCAAGACCAATTTCATTTCTTGTCAAATTGATGAAACTACCTGAAGTTTACAAAAGTAAAATACTAAATACTGTATTCGACATAATAAGCGCCCAGGGCACTCTCAAAATTAGAAATAGGGGGCTCTTATTAGAATATTATTTTGGTGAAAAACAACAGAGTTGAAAGATCATAAATTTTGTGGTTTATGCTGACAGCCTGAAATGGTTATATACGACAGATATATTTTTCCAGAATTTAAATGCCCACAATTAAGGATGCATATAACACACGTATTATACAAGAATAAATAAGTTTTGTGTACATTGATCAATCGGAAGGGGTGCTAATTGGGATTGTTCACAAGCCAATATATCAGCAAATATCACTGTGGGCACTTATTAGAGCAGGGCACTTATTACGTTGAATACGGTACCTCAAAATGTCCTGTTTCATTGAAAATAAAGGTATGCTTTTTAAATATTTTGTTCATTTTCATTTTTATTTCAAGAGCTATCTTTAGGAAGTTCACCTACGACAGACAACAGTTTTAATGTTTTGACAATGTTGCCTCCTTTTGGCATGTTGAAAAAGAACATCCATAAAACTAGAAAGTCAATTGGTCCGGCCTTATGACTTGATGAAAACCATAATGACACAGATAAATTAATGAAACATAAATATCTCTAAATATTTAAGATAGGTAATTCACAAGCAATATAAACTGGACAAACTTTCTTCATCGAGATAGGCCTTGGAAAATCTGGTATATTTCTTTAGATGTCAAGAAATTTAGTGGAATTATTCGAGGTTACATTTCAGTATACAATTGGTATTACACATTCATTATGCTCCATAACCCAGATATTGATGCAGTCAGATAATATTGAGTTAGGCAGTCAATAAGAAAGGCAATCACTTTTAAATATTGTGATATTTGTTTATTTTTCATCTGAAAATGAAATAAGCAGGTTTGTGTACTAGTAGGAACTTGGGCAGGTGTGGCAACAAAAACAAGCAAATTCCGTAACCATAAAAAACATACACAGTACAACTGTCAAACAAACACAAAGTTCAAATATCATGCATGAATCAAATAAAAAACTACGAACTGCATGCTGCAAGCAACTAAACAAAGAAAGACCATGAACAGATACTACTGTCTACATCACGAGATGAACATGGTCAGTATGTGCGAGTCTGGTCACTGACATAAGGGGTGGGTCATTTATTATTAGAGTGTGGTGTGGTGTGGTGTGGTGTGGTGTGGTGTGGCGTGGCGTGGCGTGGCGTGGCGTGGTGTGGCGTGGCATGGTGGTGGTGGTGTGGTGTGGTGTGGCGTGGCGTGGCGTGGCGTGGCGTGGCGTGGCGTGGCGTGGGTGGTGGTGTGTGTGTGTGTGTGTGTGTGTGTGTGAGTGAGAGAGTGAGAGATTAGTGTGAGGACTGTATCACATTTTACTGACCCCCCCCTCATTTCATTACATATTTTTTCACACACCTACCCTCCCGCCCCCGCCCCATAGATGTATCATATTTCATAAACCCCCCTCCCCACCCCCCAATAAATGACTAATGCCCTGAATAATGTTTACATTTAGAACCTGTATATTTGAATAAATAGAACTGCCTCATTTTTTCATGCACCCCACACCCTATAACTGTGATAAATTCTTGTGACACCCCCCTTTTGCTGTGTCATTTATCAGGTTGCTCTCTCCACCACCAGAGATGACTTGTGGTTTGGACTAATCAGCTAAACAGGCCCAACAGGCACATGCCAAATTTCCTGGATTAGACTGTGGGCTTCACATCAAGTCCACATCATGAAACAATCTGACCATGTCCATCTAGGGTATATGTTGATACATACAATGAAAATCTGGTCTAAACATTAATTTAGAAAAGGATTAGACTGTTATATTTGGTATTGTAAAGCTTTTCAAATACTAATCAAAATTTGTTCAAAAGAAAGAAGAAAACAGGAACTCATTTATCATTCATAATATGTCCCTTTTGACTTTAATTTCATACACATTTAATACCATTCTCCTTCTCATACATGGTATCCATGCTTATAGATCCCAACTGGATGAAGATATATTGAGTATGGGGAGTTTATACCAAATGTAAATATTTTTCGTAAATGGAACAAATTCTGAACGCATTTATGAACAGCCAGTTTCTCTACAACCAGATTTTCATTGATCATAACCAGTATATATTGTAATATGAAATAAACATGCTATATACAAGCTATCTACTGCTGAAGACTACTCTACATCAAGTGCCTATATCCCACGTTTACCTCCGACTCGTAACCAAGGTTCTCCATGCCCTGCTCCCATTGGCTGCCATCCTCGCCCATTGTTTGTCGCATGGCCAAATTGCGAGCATGTCTGGCTTTCTCTCGCATTTCTTTAGGATAAGGGGTCGGGCATCGATACAAGTGACCCTGTGTTTGGGAGAGGTATGTTTACCTAAGGCACTGTACAGATCCTCACGGTTACATATGTGTGGCCACTTGCATTTTGAAAACAATAATTGTCCCTGTTTCAATGATGTAAATATATCAACATAAATATACACTATAGAAAAAACTGTTACTACTTGATTTTAAACTACCCCTAGATTATTTTGTCTGCAATATTTTCTCTTTGACTACACAATGACAAAGGTAAAATAATTGCTGCTTAATATTTCAATCATACTACACCATTATACAACTTTGGATAACTTCCAATTCATTCTAATCACATGTCAAACATAATTTTTAAAAATTTAGAAGTCTTAATAAGTCAGGGTTAATGCTTACTCCTTCATCAGGTGAAGGAGTCAGCATATACTCCGAAACGTTGTGTTCCTCATAATAAAGAAGTTGACATTCAGAAATTCGCTTCCTTTTGCGCATCACTTCAAAATGCCTTTCAAAGTGTAAATAAGTCAATATTATGCCATAATACAGGAAGAATATATCCATCATCATTACAAATATTCACAATTGTTTTCAAAATACAAATAAATGCCCATTGACTTTTAAATCCCTTGAAGATGTCTGCTTCATTTCAAATAATCACGAAAGCAACAATACTTCAAACATGCAATGAGATATGAATAATGCATAAACATGTACAGTACACAACAGATGAAATCAAGTCCATGTTGGATACACCCTAATACACTCTGTATATATGACACAGCAGCATTCTCAACACAGTTAGTCCTGCATGCTTGGACGTCTTAGACAAGTGCTCAGGGAGTGTATATAAATCAGGAAAACATGGTTATACTGTGTGCATTTAGTCAACATGTTATCAAAATTAATCACAATACATTTCATGCAGAATAACTAGATTAGTGTTAGGATTCACTCAGCTGGGATAGACAACCAGTCAAGCCCAAATCAGGTCCACTGAATTATATCAAATTATGTACCAAAATAATTTAAATTAAAAGAAGTTATGAACAGAAATATTCGAAAGAAAATTTTGAAATAATTATAAACAAAGCTTTGATAAAAAATTAGCACGTCATTCACCTACTGAATAACAAACTTCTCTTTAGAGATTAAACCAACAAAAGTTGTCTCCCTTGAGAAATATGTATCATTTAGCATTTATTTCCAAAATGGCTACAAATAGCCATACAAATATATATCAAATTTATAAAATATTAATCCTGATTTAGGCTGACATGGACTGAGAGAGATCTCTAGTGGCAGATGTTATCCCAGTTAGTTGTCAGTGAACAGTGCGAGTGTCTTTGTGTTCTACCTACCTCCTCATCCACCTCGTCCCCAAACTCGAAGTGTATCTGCTGTCGCCGTGCTCGCTCCTCGTCCCACATGGAGGCGTGGAAGCTGTCTGTGTCACCCCCGCCACCACCTTCATCTGATGCCAACAAAGGAGTAGGTCAATTGCAGCTTATGCGATAAATGTAACATTTCATCTCTCTTACAAAGGCCAGCAAATTGTACTTTGGTTCGAATGACTGAAAGTTAGAAGTGTGCAGTATTACCTGTATACCATGACTTGAAATACTATCAAATATGTATCGCAATATATCAGGAAAATACTGGTATATTGCGAAATTTTTTTCAAAATTATGCATATTTTCATCCTTTTAGCAAAGTTTACACAAGAGACAAATTGAAATCAAGAAATTCATAAATAAGTAGCTTTCTGTATATAATGTGTCTATTACACATACATTGTGACCATAGCAACATCCAACAAAATGGCTGACGACTATGTAGTTATCCAAAACATTTGGGTTATTTTTATTCAGGTTCATAACAAATTACAGATGAAGCAATGTAAGCAATATATTGTAATGTGTATCGTAATATATGAATCCCGGTTCGCCCCGATTATGTTTCTAGGTTTGTCAGCACCATACCCGTGCTCGTGGGTTTCACCAAAGTGGTAAATGTCAGAGACCTGCATCAGTTCAGGCTTTCCTCCCATATTAAGCTGACACGCCATAATATAACTGTAATACTGTTAAAAACGGCATTAAACCCAACTTACTCACTCACTCGTAATACATGAATCATTGTTTTATCAATGTACAGACCAGCCTCGTGACCTGTAAACCTGGATCGTTTCACCTTACAAGAAGATATTTTTTGCTTATACATGTAACAAAATCATATTGCCTTAAATCCTCTAAATAACTTTTCTTGGAAACTAGATGAGAGTATAAGTCTTTCAATAGTGATGGCTAATTTCCTGACTTTGGTATTGCAATTAAAAAATAATGTTTTTCTCTTCACATGTTTGTTCCCATAGCCTGTTTCTATGGCAGTCATGGTTTCTCTACCTGGACCCCGACTCACCGTCATGCTGCTGTGTCTGGGGCAGGAGGTAGCACGTGAGGATCTTCCTGTTGCTGTTGGTTTCTGGGTCATAGTCAGACTGCAGTGGGATCAGGGGGCGTGTCTGCAATAGATAAAACATCAGTTACACCAACTGATCAGTGTAAGGGCTTGCTAAATTGTACTGATATTCAGATCATACAGATCTTGTGCAACAAAATTCCCACTTTTAAGTACGTTTTAACAAATTTGTATTCAAAGGATTCGTAATTATTTTGTTTTTACTCATAAGGTCTCAGATCTATCCAAGCATTCCTGAATCTGAAACCCCATTTATGCATACATCTTTGAAAGAACTATGTATCTGGATTATTGGGGATTTACTCCATTGAATCACTTTACACAGAACACTGAATTAGTTTGTTTGTTGTTAAACGCCACACTCAGCAATATTCCAGCTATATGATGGCGGTCTGTAAATAATCAAGTCTGGACCACACAATCCAGTGATTGACATCATGAGCATAGATCCACGCAATTGGGATCGATGACATGCATCAACCAAGATAGCGAGCCTGGCCACCCGATCCCGTCAGTCGCCTTTTACGACAAGCATAGAAACTGAATTAGAATAGGTCGCGAGCACTCTATTGTTTGTAGTACTGCTCGCTGACTTCATTAAGTCGGGTGGTCTGATACTTTGGCATACTGGATTGTATGTAGTCATATCCTGACAGGATGCAGGATGTTGATCATAATGTCGACCACTAGTTTTTCTGTAACAAATGTTATATTTGGGATAACACTTTCTTAGTAAAGTACAGATTCTCGTACTTTTTTTAGGTTGAGTCCCGTCCGGTACTTTACTAAGAAAGTGTTATCCCAAATATAACATTTGTTACATTTGACCACTTTCTACATGGCACTGTGTATTCACTAGTTATTCTGGCCTGACTATTTACAGGCCCCAAAGACATAGCTGGAATATCATTAACTGCAGCATGCTTTTGCTTGTTTGTTGTTTAATGTCTCACTCAGCAATGTTCCAGCTATAGGACGCTGTCTCTAAATAATTGAGTCTGGACCAGACAATCAAGTGATCATGAGGTGAGGTGAAATTGGGTTTAACGTCGCGTCCAAGATTATTGCACTTATATAGCGACGTGCATGCACGTGTATGTGGGTGTGTGGCTGCTTGTACTAGTCCGGACTGATGCCGATTTATAGTGCTAGCTCACTGAGATACCATGCCGCAGTTTAACATGAATACCCCACTCAGACACAGTATACTGACTCCGAGCCGACCAGTCCTTGTTTTAGCCCCTTAATGCCGAGCGCCAGACAGTGTAACAATAAGTACAATCTTTTAACGTCTTTTTGTATGACGCGGCCCGGGATCGAACCCTGGACCTTCCGCTCTCCGGGCGGACGCTCTACCACAAGACCACGGAGGCGGTTAAGTGATCATGAGTATTGATCTAGACAAGTCCAAGTCGGTGATCCCGTCAGTCGCTTCTTACAAGCATAGTCGCCTTTTACGGCAAGCATGGGTTGCTGAAGACCTATTCCAACCTGGTCTTCACGGGTCAACTGCAACATGTAGCAAGAGACACAGAGGATTGTGGATGCTACAACATGGCGTCTACCTGGTTCTCTGTCAGCCACAACGCCTGCAGCTCCTTCAGTTTGATGACGGAGAATGGCAGATGCTGGAGACGGTTGTCACTCAGGTTGAGGACACGTAACCGTGGGATACGGCCAATCTCATCGGGGATGTATGTCAGCTTGTTGCTTCGTAGAGACAGGACTGTGATTCCATTGCAACTGCCGATCTGAAGCACAGATGTGTTTGCATTGTTACACATAAAATACAACACACGTTACAGAATCCTGTTTGCAAAAGTTTGCAAAAATACCTTCTCCATATCAGATAATATAAAACATAAACATGTCCACAAAAAAGAACACTGAAAGAAAAATGACATTATGTGATATTAATGTTGATACATGTGATAGTCACATTATATCTTCCATATACATATCGGGTTCAAATCCTATATGGCGATCTTAGCGCTAAGATGATCCTAATTCCAATTCTCAGTCATAGCCCAAAGATCACTTTATGGAATGGGTCCACGTTCAAGAATATATCTTAGCGCTGAGACTTTTGTTACTCCCATTCTGAAGACTGACTTACGACAATCATAGTGCTAAGATCACTTTGTGGAACGGGTCCCTGAACTGCAATGATGCAAGAGGTGATGATATGATATTTATCGCAATCCCTGACATGCAATACCTTACGTATCACATTCTCAATAAGACACAGTGGTGTATAACAAACTGCCCATCATAAGTATAAGTGTATCAGTGAACCATTCATCTCCTAGCATTTTTTATTACGAAACGTAAACATTAGGTAATCTTATTACATCACCGTAATATGAATATATTTTGTACAACAAAGATAAAACATGCTAGATCATATCTCTAACTACCATCAGCTAGCCATCAACACTCACATCGGCAGGTAGAAACTCCAGGAAGTTTTCATCAGCATAGAATGTTCTCAGATTGCGGAGCAGACCAATGCTAGCAGGCAGCGCCTCGATGTCGTTAGCGCTGACGTTCAACTCAGATAATGCCGACAACCTGCATCATCAGGTAACAAACATATTAGTTTGAAATAGGGAAAAAAGTCCTGCAAAACAATCTTCAAGACTGCTATTAGTTTTCATCCCAGAAGGGGATGCTGGTGATCATGTCAACCCTGTGTCAGTCACTCTCTCTTTTGTTTCTGTCCAGTGTACCACTTGCAATTGGGTAGTACTATGCTTAAAGCCACATCGGACAGTGGTGTTTGTTTGTTTGTTTGTTTGTTGTTTAACGCCACACTCTGCAATATTCCAACTATATGATGGCGGTCTGTAAATAACTGAGTCTGGACCAGACAATCCAATGATTGACATCATGAGCATCGATCCACGCATTTGGGATACGATGACATGCATCCAGCAAGTCAGCGAGCCTGATCACCCGATCCCGTTAGTCGCCTCTTACGACAAGCATTATCGCCTTTTTAGCAAGCATGGGTTGCTGAAGACCAATTCTACCCCAGATCTTCATGGGTTCTGACAGCTAATATCCCGGAATATATATATTTAATTTCAAATTAATTCTTGTTAAAATTCTTTTAATGTCTTTTTCAGTCCTCACAAAGAATACATTAATAGCTCTATATTTAATGATTACAGTGAAGTATATGAATATTTTTAGAACTAATATATATATTTTTGTTCAAATACTGAAACAATACAAGACAACTGAATACACAAATGATGTCTGTGATGGTGGATCCGCTGTGGTGGCTCACCCTCCAATTGTCTTGGGTAGTGCTGTCAGCTGGTTGTCATCAACCTTCAATGTGGTCAGGTTGTTCAAATTCCCTGTGGAAACAAGTCAGAATGTCATGATTCAAAGATAAAACTAACTGTCTGAGCTGATTGTGAGACACATAGCTGTAACTGTGCCATCGACATGACAGATTCATTTTTATAAAAGCTAAAAATAATCATAAACAATGGATCACAATAAAGATTCCAAACCAGAATCTCTGTCACATCATGAGAGAGAGAGAGAGAGAGAGAGAGAGAGAGAGAGAGAGAGAGAGAGAGAGAGAGAGAGAGGGAGGGAGATATGAAAAAAATGACACAGACCTATTTTTTCAAACAATTATTTGTACATTATTTAGTGACTGTTCATTTATTATACGTGGTTCTGGTGGGCATGAATAAATGTCACGTAAAATGGGGGTGCGGTATCCCCCCCAAAATATCCTGAGGATGATCTAAGAACAGCTTTAGAGATGGGTGGGTCAAGGAAAACAAGAAATTAATTTTGACAAGCCTTACCTTACCTGTCAACTCCAGAGGTCAGAGATATCAAAATGTTGAAGAGTACCTACCAACTGAGTCCGGGAGTTCGGACAGGTTGTTGGTGGTCAGATGGAGATCAGCCAATGAGACGCAGCCTTCTATTTCCCTCGGCAAGTGCTCAATGACGTTCTTTGATGCGTCAAAGAATATCAGTTGATTTAACCTGCCAATTTTCTGGAAAACAAAATGGTGACATAAAACATAACCATAGGAATAGGTAAAACAAAAAATGTTCAACAATATGACTTTCAAAACCAACTAGGTAAACGGGAACAAACAAAAGAAATGGTAGACTGTGACAATTTAAAGACAGAGGAATCCTGACCACACAATACCTATATAAGTGGGCTTGGTGTAAGACTGACTAAGTGGCCTGACCACCTGTTCAACAAAGAATGCCCTACGCTGCACTCAGCAATGTTCCAGCCATATGACAATGACCCGGTAATAATCGAGTCTCGACCAACTAATCCAGTGATTGATATTGTGAGCTATGATCCACTCCGTTGGGGAGATGAATCGCAATCAACCAAGCCTGACCTCCCGATCCATTTGGTAGCTTTTACGACCAGTACTGGGTCAAATGCCAACCTTGAATCCCCACATGGAGAAAGCCTAATGACATGTGCCATCCATACATTGTTTCCTGTGAGTCTTTAATATGTATCCCGTAAAAGGCGACTATGCTTGTCGTAAAAGGCGACTAACGGGATCGGGTGGTCAAGCTCGCTGACTTGGTTGATGCATGTCATCGATCCCAATTGCGTGGATCGATGCTCATGATGTCATTCACTGGACTGTCTGGTCCAGCCTTGATTATTTACAGACCACGTCATATAGCTGTAATATTGCTGAGTGCAGCGTTTAACAACAAACAAACATAATATGTATCCAGAAGTTAGTACATCACAGAGACACTACATAAATGGACATACAATGTTTCGAGGGTAGTTCCTACATCTTTATCAGGGGCCACTGACAGTCAAAAGCTGCAAAATGACTCAATTAAACTCAGCATCATTTATTGATTCAGACTGACATTCACCCAAATTTTGATTATCAAGCTCAATTATCTCGATGTACCACTTTTTGTACAGGCACTATAGCCTGACAAGGCACTGTGCTTGTCCAAAACTATACACTACCTAGCCTATGTTTCATGGTCCCAAGGCTTCTTCTGGTGATCCTACTTACACTGGTGACTCTCTTGATCTGGTTGTTGTCACACCACAGTTCCAGCAGAGTGGTCAGGTTGCCCACAACATCGGGCTGAAGGGAAGAAAAGTCAGCTGATATGAAATCTGACCAAACACTTTCGTAGTTGGAAAAGAGAAGCACAACTAAATTAAACGCTAGAATGTTGTTTCTGAGGAATGAGTGACAAATTAACCTCTACAGAACAAAATAATCAATAATATTGAGTGCATATTTATAATGTGCTACATCCACACCCTAAAGCATGCTCAGAGTGATACATTGTAACCATTTTACATTATAGAGGCAGTTGTCTACTGGATAATTCACAACGTCATTGTTTGAGTGAGTGAGTGAGTGAGTATGGTTTTACGCCGCTTTTAGCAATATTCCAGCAATATCACGGCGGGGGACACCAGAAATGGGCTTCACACATTGTACCCATGTCGGGAATCGAACCCGGGTCTTCGGTGTGACGAGCAAACGCTTTAACCACTAGGCTACCCGACCGCCCCCCATGTCATATGAACCTTGAGCACGTATTGCCTTTGGTGCAAGTTCAACACTGAACTTTGGATGAATAGAAAAACAAAAATCTTCATTTTTGCAAATTTTTCGCTTATTTATTTTGCAGATGAAACAACACAAAAGCAATGTTGGCAAGGGAGGAATATTTAAATCTTACATAATATTAGGACAAACGATTATATAATCTCACAAACAATATGAAACAGGAAAACATATCTTACCAGCTCTGTAAATTCATTATTGCCAATGTCAAGTCTTTCCAAATCAGCAAGCCGGCTGAAAGAGTTTGGCAAGGTTTTCAGGTGATTTTCCCGAATCTCCAAGATCTTGAGATGGACTAACCTGCAGATCCAAATAAAACAGGTTACACTTTTAAAGGAATAGACAGTGAGTTAATGAGTCCATGTCCTTGATCACACATTAATGTTAAGCTTGAGAGAGCTTCAAATGTGGAGGAACAATCAAGGGGAGATAACTGTGATCAGCCTATCCAAAGACTCCATGGCAAACATGGCAAAAGCTCTATTTTCATGTCTGACACATCCAAGTTATTTTGAATGCTTTTCCTCTCAAGGATTCTCAAGATTCCGCCCAGTTGCGTAACAAAATCGCTTTTGCTTCCTGTTAATTCCTTTTGCTCACTAGATGAGAAATCTTTTAGAGAGAGAACACATGCCAAGAAAATCTACTGGGTCAAACATATATATGAAATATCAGTATACAATCATGCTGTTATCAGGTCTGAAAGACAGGCACTTACATATCCACTGACATACATTCAAAAATCTTAACAACCTACAGGCTCAAGTGATATGACTACAAATTGAGTGTCAATTCATATCTAATCCAGCACTATACATCTCTTAACCCACAGCCATATGCTTATCAGTGCATATCTGGAGTAGCCTAAATCTTTGTCACGAATGAAACGGGGAGATGGACTTACCTGCCAAAACTACCAGGTAGGAAGTCGAGGAATGTGTCATTGAGGAACAGGGATGTCAGATTCTGAAGCTGTGTGAACCCCTCGGGTAACCTGCAAATAGATTAGTCTCAGTAATGAAACAAGAAAAAAATGGCATAAAACATGACTTGATGAAGAGGTTTATTTTATGGAATGCCAACTTCCCATCAATACGAGGAATTGATGTCAGGTGTGGTACCTCGTATAAACCTGTGACTGGCAGGTAAATCAAACATCTCCAGTGGAAATACCTGTTGTGCTAGGTTGAAATCAATTTTGAAACAAACAAAACAAACAAAAACAAACAAACAAACAAACACCCAAACCCCAAAAACGTCTGTCTTCTTGTTTATACTCTCTGCACAATACAGATATAAAAGGAGCTCCCTCTGGTCATCTGAAATGTGACGTGATTTAGACTTCATATACTGTTCTATTTGATTGTCAGCACCTGTTTCATAATGGCTTAAATAAACCTGACATCCTAAGATCCTAAAATTAGGGATTCAAACCCATCATCACTTAGTTTGTTGACAGGCATAAATCAACACAGCATGACTTTGTACCTTAGACCACTGGGCCACCTCTGTGTGTAGGTGTGCGAGTGTGAGTAGGAGTGAACGTGTGAGCGTGTGTACGTGTGCATGCATGCGTCTGTGTGGGAGTGAGTGAGTGAGTAGACATACTTCAATTGGCCCGATGAGACAGACATTACCACTTTGGAGAAATCAACAAACAGGGGTATGGTGCTAACACACCAAGAACTGTAAGTCAGGGCAATTCTGGGATTCTAACCCATGATCATCAGATTCTGGAACACCCCAAGGGATGTAACTCTGAACACGCACGCCTCCCTTACAATAAGAAAGAACACTTTTCTTGGAACCTGCAAGTCTGGTATGAAGCAAAAAAAATGGCATACAAAGCCAGATAACAAATACATGCAATCAAGATACAAACATTTGTTCAAACTGTCTGGTCAAACACTCATTCAAATATCTGAGAGCTCATTGACAGTGCATGACATTTTGTGGGGAGATTTTTAAATAGAAAAACAAATAATTGTCCTGACATAACGAAAGGAAAACAGTCACTCGTTGAAAAGGGTCCAAATTATTGCCATCTATAAACGCTCAGATCAAACAGTTACAAAAGTGGAAGCAAATTTATTTTGCTGGACTATTACCAGCAGACCTTCAGCAACTGTGAGAAATGAAAGCCAAGTAAAACATTTCATTATCTCAACTCAATATTTGTTTTGTTGCCACCATTTAAAGAAAAGAGTATATTCGTTCCTCTGTAAACAGGGTAAAGCAAAACTGCAGACAAACACGAAGAGAAAACACTAAAACTTAACCTGTGACAAATTCATATTGAAGATGAAATTTAGGTCAAAGTCAAAGTCCCATTTGTGATCATAAATTTGAGTATGTAAATATGACTTGTGGGAGAGAAAAAGGTTAGCTTGCGAAAAAATGTGGTGTTGGTGCTATAGATGGTGATTTGCTGGGCAGGTGTGCTGTGGGTCTATAGAGACGGATTTCAGGATCATATTCAGTGGGGCCATGCTGAGCATAAATTACAGGTTGTCACAAACATTATGAAGCATTATTTATCATCTTAAGATGGGTTGTCTGTAGTATAGGTGAATAACATGCCATTATGGGTGTCATTGTTTACCCATAATGCTTCAGGTAGGCAAGTATCATCTCTCACCTTCGGCTTCATTGCTCTTGTATTTGTCTGTTTATTTGATCACAACGGACTATGATTGTGTGATCACGTGATATGGGGTTGCATGGAGTGGAGCAGGATTTGGGTGGGCAAGGATGGTGCAGATTTTGGGTTTGATTGGAGAATAGTTTGTTTTTTTGGTAGGGAAGAGCGGGATCTGAGTGGAGAGATGAGTGTGGAGTAGAGCAGGATTGAGGTGAGTTTAGTGGAATGAGAGGAGTGCATTTTTGGCAGAGCGGAGTTTGGGTGATGTCAGCAGAGTGTTTTGGAGTTTGGGTGGAGTAGAGTTTTGGCAGAGCGTAGTTTGGGTGGTGTTAGCAAAGTGTTGTGGAGTTTGGGTAGAGCGGAGTTTGGGTGGTGTCAGCAGAGTGTTGTGGAGTTTGGGCAGAGCGGAGTTTGGGTGGTGTCAGCAAAGTGTTGTGGAGTTTGGGTGGAGAAGAGTTTGGGTGGTGTCAGCAGAGTGGATTGGAGTTTGGGTGGAGCAGAGTTTGGGTGGTGTCAGCAGTGTGGATTGGAGTTTGGGTGGAGCAGAGTTTGGGCAGAGCAGAGTTTGGGTGGTGTCAGCAGAGTGTTGTGGAGTTTGGGCAGAGCGGAGTTTGGGTGGTGTCAGCAGAGTGTTGTGGAGTTTGGGTAGAGCGGAGTTTGGGTTGTGTCAGCAGTGTGTTGTGGAGTTTGGGCAGAGCAGAGTTTGGGTGGTGTCAGCAGAGTGTTGTGGAGTTTGGGTAGAGCGGAGTTTGGGTTGTGTCAGCAGTGTGTTGTGGAGTTTGGGCAGAGCAGAGTTTGGGTGGTGTCAGCAGAGTGGATTGGAGTTTGGGTGGAGCAGAGTTTGGGTGGTGCAGAGTTTGGGTGGTGTCAGCAGAGTGGATTGGAGTTTGGGTGGAGCAGAGTTTGGGCAGAGCAGAGTTTGGGTGGTGTCAGCAGAGTGTTGTGGAGTTTGGGTAGAGCGGAGTTTGGGTGGTGTCAGCAGAGTGTTGTGGAGTTTGGGCAGAGCGGAGTTTGGGTGGTGTCAGCAGAGTGTTGTGGAGTTTGGGTAGAGCGGAGTTTGGGTGGTGTCAGCAGAGTGTTGTGGAGTTTGGGTAGAGCGGAGTTTGGGTGGTGTCAGCAGAGTGTTGTGGAGTTTGGGTAGAGCGGAGTTTGGGTGGTGTCAGCAGAGTGTTGTGGAGTTTGGGTAGAGCGGAGTTTGGGTGGTGTCAGCAGAGTGTTGTGGAGTTTGGGTAGAGCGGAGTTTGGGTGGTGTCAGCAGTGTGTTGTGGAGTTTGGGCAGAGCGGAGTTTGGGTGGTGTCAGCAGAGTGGATTGGAGTTTGGGTGGAGCAGAGTTTGGGTGGTGTCAGCAGAGTGTTGTGGAGTTTGGGTAGAGCGGTGTTTGGGTTGTGTCAGCAGTGTGTTGTGGAGTTTGGGCAGAGCAGAGTTTGGGTGGTGTCAGCAGAGTGGATTGGAGTTTGGGTGGAGCAGAGTTTGGGTGGTGTCAGCAGAGTGGATTGGAGTTTGGGTGGAGCAGAGTTTGGGCAGAGCAGAGTTTGGGTGGTGTCAGCAGAGTGTTGTGGAGTTTGGGCAGAGCGGAGTTTGGGTGGTGTCAGCAGAGTGTTGTGGAGTTTGGGCAGAGCGGAGTTTGGGTGGTGTCAGCAGAGTGTTGTGGAGTTTGGGCAGAGCGGAGTTTGGGTGGTGTCAGCAGAGTGTTGTGGAGTTTGGGCAGAGCGGAGTTTGGGTGGTGTCAGCAGTGTGTTGTGGAGTTTGGGTGGAGCGGAGTTTGGGTGGTGTCAGCAGAGTGGATTGGAGTTTGGGTGGAGCAGAGTTTGGGCAGAGCAGAGTTTGGGTGGTGTCAGCAGAGTGTTGTGGAGTTTGGGCAGAGCGGAGTTTGGGTGGTGTCAGCAGAGTGTTGTGGAGTTTGGGCAGAGCGGAGTTTGGGTGGTGTCAGCAGAGTGTTGTGGAGTTTGGGCAGAGCGGAGTTTGGGTGGTGTCAGCAGAGTGTTGTGGAGTTTGGGCAGAGCGGAGTTTGGGTGGTGTCAGCAGTGTGTTGTGGAGTTTGGGTGGAGCGGAGTTTGGGTGGTGTCAGCAGAGTGGATTGGAGTTTGGGTGGAGCAGAGTTTGGGCAGAGCAGAGTTTGGGTGGTGTCAGCAGAGTGTTGTGGAGTTTGGGCAGAGCGGAGTTTGGGTTGGTGTCAGCAGAGCGGATTGGAGTTTGGGTGGAGCAGAGTTTGGGCAGAGCAGAGTTTGGGTGGTGTCAGCAGAGTGTTGTGGAGTTTGGGCAGAGCGGAGTTTGGGTGGTGTCAGCAGAGTGTTGTGGAGTTTGGGTAGAGCGGAGTTTGGGTTGTGGAGTTTGGGCAGAGCGGAGTTTGGGTGGTGTCAGCAGAGTGTTGTGGAGTTTGGGCAGAGCAGAGTTTTGGTGGTGTCAGCAGAGTGATGTGGAGTTTGGGCAGAGCGGAGTTTGGGTGGTGTCAGCAGAGTGTTGTGGAGTTTGGGTAGAGCAGAGTTTGGGTGGTGTCAGCAGAGTGTTGTGGAGTTTGGGTAGAGCAGAGTTTGGGTTGTGGAGTTTTGGCAGAGCGGAGTTTGGGTGGTGTCAGCAGAGTGTTGTGGAGTTTGGGTAGAGCGGAGTTTGGGTGGTGTCAGCAGAGTGTTGTGGAGTTTGGGCAGAGCGGAGTTTGGGTGGTGTCAGCAGAGTGTTGTGGAGTTTGGGCAGAGCGGAGTTTGGGTGGTGTCAGCAGAGTGTTGTGGAGTTTGGGTAGAGCAGAGTTTGGGTGGTGTCAGCAGAGTGTTGTGGAGTTTGGGTAGAGCGGAGTTTGGGTTGTGGAGTTTGGGCAGAGCGGAGTTTGGGTGGTGTCAGCAGAGTGTTGTGGAGTTTGGGCAGAGCGGAGTTTGGGTGGTGTCAGCAGAGTGTTGTGGAGTTTGGGTAGAGCGGAGTTTGGGTGGTGTCAGCAGAGTGTTGTGGAGTTTGGGTAGAGCGGAGTTTGGGTGGTGTCAGCAGTGTGTTGTGGAGTTTGGGCAGAGCGGAGTTTGGGTGGTGTCAGCAGAGTGGATTGGAGTTTGGGTGGAGCAGAGTTTGGGTGGTGTCAGCAGAGTGTTGTGGAGTTTGGGTAGAGCGGTGTTTGGGTTGTGTCAGCAGTGTGTTGTGGAGTTTGGGCAGAGCAGAGTTTGGGTGGTGTCAGCAGAGTGGATTGGAGTTTGGGTGGAGCAGAGTTTGGGTGGTGTCAGCAGAGTGGATTGGAGTTTGGGTGGAGCAGAGTTTGGGCAGAGCAGAGTTTGGGTGGTGTCAGCAGAGTGTTGTGGAGTTTGGGCAGAGCGGAGTTTGGGTGGTGTCAGCAGAGTGTTGTGGAGTTTGGGCAGAGCGGAGTTTGGGTGGT